CAACAATTAATGATGAACCTGTTCCACGGCCATTGACTCATCGACCTGTGACGGCTAATGGGATTAAATATATGGATGAAATAATGGCCGACGATCCTAAAACATTTAGAAATGTATACAGAATTTATCCTGACATTTTTCAAAAATTATGTTGTATCCTAAGAAACAAAACGCCTTTAAGAGATACAAGATATATTTGTGTTGAAGAAATGGTGGCAACATTTTTACTTATTATCGGTCAAAATAACCGCTATTGTCAACCTAGAATGATATTTAAGCGGTCACACTTCAGCATTAGTAGAAGCTTCAACAAAGTATTGAAAGCGTTGAATACAATAGCTCCCGAGTTTATGGCCAAACCGGAATCTGTACCACATGTCATCAGAGAGACTATAAGGTTTTATCCTCATTTCAAGGTGAGTAATGCAAAACTTTATTGATGATTAAGGATGATTAATTATTTTTTTTTTCTTTTCCTAATGCACTTCACCAATTTTACATGATTAATGATGATCGATTAATTATTTTGTGGTATTTCTTATTTTCCTAATGCTAGGATTGCATCGGAGCAATAGATGGCACTCATATTCCAGCAATCGTACCTGGAAGAGAAGTGAACAGCTATCGAAATCGTCATGGGACTATATCTCAAAATGTACTAGCTGCTTGCAACTTTGATTTGCAATTCATATATGTGCTTAGCGGTTGGGAGGGTTCTGTCCATGATTCAAAAGTGTTAAATGATGCAATTTCAAGACCAAATGGTCTTAAAGTGCCACCAGGTACACTTTAACATGTTTATCCAAATCTCTGTTACCAATTACTTATTGCATTGTATAATAGACTAATTGTGTGATGATTCCATGTCTAGGAAAATATTATTTGGGGGATTGTGGTTTTGCAAATCGGTGTCAATTTTTAGCTCCATTTCGAGGTACTCGGTATCATCTAAAGGATTTTGGTGGTGAAGGAAATCACCCTGTTAATGCAGTTGAACTATTCAATCTTCGTCATGCTTCTTTAAGGAATGTGATTGAACGGATATTTGGAATATTCAAGTCACGCTTCACAATCTTCAAAACAGCACCTCCTTTCTCTTATAAAACACAAGCAGAATTGGTTTTGGCATGTGCAGGAGTACATAATTTTCTTCGACGTGAATGCCGATCTGACGAATTTCCTCCGGACCCAGAAGAAGACCCACCTAGTGATGATGAGGACAATCTTGAATGGGATAATTTTCTGACACAAGATCAACAGAGGGAAAAGGCCAATGAATGGAGGATGAATCTTGCTACTCAAATGTGGGCAGCTGCAGAAAATGAATAATTTCGATCCATAGTTCAGTAGAACAAGACGTTTGTTCTCATTTTATGCGTTGATGACATTCATTTTTTCTTATATTTTTTAATGCTTATGCTTGACCTCATTCGGAATAGAGAACATTAGCTATTATATTTGTCATAATTTCTATGTAGTGATTATTATTTATTAAAGTCTGGTTTGCTTTGTTAAAGTCTGGTCTAGTTAAATCTGGTCCGAAATAAGTCCAAGTAAAAGTCTATGGATTTATTGAAATCCATAGAAGTCATTCATTTAAAAGTCATTCATTTTAAAAGTCCACGGATTTAAATGTCTACGGATTTAAAAGTCAGCGGATTAAAGTCTATGGATTTAAAAGTCCATAGACTTTTTTAGAAGTCCATGAATTAAAAAAAGTCCACCATAATCCATATTCTATACACCCCCTAAGAGTTGAGTGGGTTTGAGATGGAGGGGCATCCTATTACTTTCTCTTCTTTTTTGGAATGTGACATTCCCTCCATAAAAATAAACCTACGAACCAAACACAGATATTTCAGATTCCGGGCATGAGATTCCGGCCTGTATAGGTGATTACCTTGAACCAAACATACCCTAAAGGTTTTCCATTTGCCTTTCAAGCGTCGCATATAAAGGTTAATTTGTATTTTAAAAAATAACTAGCATTCTTCAATCACAACTTATTAATCAAATGTTAAAAATAATAGGGAAAATGGAAATTAATAATCCAACCTTTTAGCGGTCTTCTTTTAATAGTCAGACCTTTTCGTTATTCATGAATAATCTAACCTTTACACCTCATCTTCATTCATTGGTCCCCGACCGGTTGATGACCTGTTATTCCGAGTTATTTTCTTATCTCTGCAAATTAGTATACCATAAATTCGACCTTTCACAAAGATAATATTTTGCAAACCGTACCGTTTGAGCATTCCTTACATTATTGAACAGCAAGGAAAAATGGCTCAATCAACGTGAAGTGCAAACAACGTAACTACACGGTAACAATTCTATATCCTTGAGACCCCCTTTCTCACCGTCTCATATAGGCATGGTAGGTAGGCGCAACTCACCGATAAAAAAAGGGAAAAATTGACAGTAATAATCCCAACTATTGGCGGTTCGCTAATAATAATCCCAACTATCGATTATTTTAGAATAATCCCAACTTTAGGGACCTTCCGCTAGTAATGGTCCCTATACATAAATTCTTGTAGTTTCTAAAGTGCATGAGAAGAGATATAGGAAGTAATCCCTATAAATAATCTCAACTTCTAATTTTTACGCTTATTTCTATTTAAAATTCACTTGTTATTGGAGGTAATATTTGGTCATGGACCATTATTGGCGGAGGTCCCATATAGTTGGGATTATGCAAAAATAATCAATAGTTGGGAGTATTGTCAGTGGACCAGCAATAGTTGAGATTATTATTTTCAATTTTTCCTAAAAAAGTGCTACAAGGAGTAAGTCACGGGTCAAATGCTAACAAATGAGATGGGGGGATTATTGTATAAAAACGCATAGAACCTCTCAAAATACGTGAGTCCTTACTCCTTATCTATCAACTTGTGAGTTTTTTCTACTTTTAGTCCTCTGACTATTATGTCATTGACACTTTTGGCACTCGACTTTGATTTTTTCTATTTTTAGTCCTTGACTATTGCGTTAGAGACATTTTTGGTATACGTCTTTGAAAATTTTCATATTTAGTCTTTCAACTTTCATAAAAGTGACACTATTGGTCCTTCAACTATTATAATACTGACATTTTTAGTCTTTCACTTATTGTGTCAAAATCACAACGAGAGGACTAAAAGTGTCAATTTTACAATACTCTGGGACTGAATGTGGGAAACCTTGTAGTCGGGAACTAAAAGTGTCTCTAGCACAATAGTCGAGGACTAAAAATGGAAAAATGAGAAGTCAAGTACCAAAAGTGTCATTGACATAATAGTCGAGGATCAAAAGTGGCAAAAACTCATCAACTTGTGATGAAAGACAAATTTATACTGTTTGATCACTAATGGAGCTCAGCCTATTATCCTTTTTTCATGTGTACGCAAGACGCTACGTAGTATCTATTATCCCATGCGGGGAGGGATGCACCCAATCCATGTTTTGTGTCCTTGTGACCAACTATGTTGCACGGATACGGATACGCCGATACGCGGATACGCGGATACGGGTACGGCGATACGGCACTTTCAAAAATTATAGGATACGGGTACGGGGGTATATTTATAAATAATAAAAATATAGGGTATAATTTGCAAATATATATAATTCAGGGGTTATAAATAAAATAATAATAATAGTACAAAAAATTAACTATTATAATAAAGTTTCAAAGATTAGTCTAAAAAACTAAAGTATTGATAGTTTGATTTAAATTCAAATAATTTTTTTTTGTTCTCTATTTGCATTTACATCCAAGTCTTGTTTCAATTAAATATCATCAAGCAATGAAATGTCAAATTATAGTATTCCATTATTTTTCATACTCCCGAAACCATCTTTATCAATGTTCCACATGTTGTGGTCGCTTGGTTGGCTACTAAATTTTCGTCATGTCGTGTATAAAATGAGGGGTTATAGGTTCAGATACGCGTATCGGTTCACGGATACGGGTATCGGAAGTATCGGTATTTTTAAAATTAAGCCCTATACTTTTATTAAATTACGGATACGGACCCAATACGTACAGGACGGGTATCGGTGAGTATCGGATACGGATACGTATCGGATACGCGGATACGGCATCGAAGTGAAGTATCGGTGCAACATAGGTGACCAATAAGACACGATAGTATTTTGTAGGGTTTATACCGATTTTATATTATTCCAAAACACAATTGGGATGTTCTAACTTCTAACTCTAAATTAGAATGTTTTCAGACTTGGGCTCTGTTTGCAAGCCCTTGATTTAAGTGTTTGTGCTTTTTTTTTTAAGAAAACACACTTATTTTATCAAACACTACCAACTTTTACTTTCTCGGCGGCTTTCGTGTAGAATCTACTTTTTACTTTTTCTATTACACAAAAAGCACTTATTTTACCAAACACTATCAACTTTAACTACTAATCACTTTTTCCCAAAAAGTGCTTTTATTTAAACACCAGGACTTGCAAACAAAGCCTTAAACGGACTACAAGTGAGTAAGTGACATAATGAAATACACATAAAATCAAGTTAGTGCACATCAAACCAGAACATATTAGAAAATTTCGATTCAATTAAAAACATTTTGGTACAAAAAGCAGTCTAAACTCATTGTGGTCACGTTCGTTTGCAACCCTAGTTCTAACTCTAAATTAGAATGTTTTCAGACTTGGGCTCTGTTTGCAAGCCCTTGATTTAAGTGTTTGTGGTTTTTTTTAAAGAAAAAAACACTTATTTTACTAAACACTACCAACTTTTACTTTCTCGGCTTTCGTGTAGAATCTACTTTTTACTTTGTCTATTACACAAAAAGCACTTATTTTACAAACACTATCAACTTTTACTACTAATCTTTTTTTTTTCCAAAAGTACTTTTATTTAAACACCAACACTTCCAAACAAAGCCTTAAACGGACTACAAGTGAGTAAGTGACATAATGAAATACACATAAAATCAAGTTAGTGCACATCAAACCAGAACATATTAGAAAATTTCGATTCAATTAAAAACATTTTGGTACAAAAAGCAGTCTACACTCATTGTGCTCACGTTCGTTCTTTACAGGACATCACCAGTTCTATAACGGCGTTGCTGATAACAAGTTAAAAGGTGAATGAAATAGAAACTGCACTGGAAATCACATGAGTAACAACATAACAGTGTAGATTAACATAAGTAGAAATCACTCGACACAAATAAATGGTGTTTGTACCAACACAAAGCCTAACTTATTACATTTTTTGTCCCGGGGATGTTGGCTTTATTAAATTTCATTTTATAACATCAACTCCAGAATACCCAAATCATCAAAGCCTGAAATGCAACAAGGCAGAAGTTCCGTCGAGACCCTTTGAATGAAAATAATTGACAAAGTCCCTCACGGTGGTTTCCCTGTACTTGGGCGGATTCTCCTCCGATAACAGTTCCTTAATGGGTCCGTAAAGTCTTTGAGATGGCAACAAGTACGTACTAAAGAAACACGCCACCGATATCCTCGGTCCGCGCGGGACAGCCAACACTCTGTGCTCGGAGCTCTTGAACCTATCATTCGTTATAAGCTGCCCCCAAAGAAAGAAAAATCAAATGTAACACATTTGTTAAAAAAGAGTTTTTATATAAAAATTAGGCAAGTTTAATGGATAACTTCAAGCAAGTTTAGAGGAAATTTGTTTCCACCCATTTTTTTCTTTCAAATTAGGATTTGCCCTTAATTTAAATTACTAATTTGAATGACTCTCTAAGGTAAAATCCGAAATGATCTTAACACTTAGTAATAGCTGTTACTATTAAGATTTGATATTATAACTTATAGCTGTAGTGAATTTAAGTTTGTCTTAGTCATACTTCGTACGAAGTATTATAATACCCGGTATTGCTTATAGGTGGAGTCCTGGCCTCAACCTGAGGGTACGCTTGAGTCTTGACGCCACTATCATTCAATAGTAGCCATTAAGAGCAGAAGACTATTTCATGGTTGAAAAATAAAGCATGTTCGATGGGAGCTTTAATGGAGAAGTTATATGATATGCACTAATTAGTAGTGCATAAGTGTATGTTTTTATGTTTGATTTGTGTGGATTGTTTACCGTTTTATTTAGTTTGTAAACATTTGTGTGATTTTAGTTGTAATTGTATTTTAATCTTCATTTGTAAGTTGTAAAGTAGAGTTAGGAATTAGGGTGTTGAAAAGGAGGACTTTGAAGTGAAGAAAAAGGTGATAAGTGTGCCCAGGAGCACAAACCCGGTCGGGTCAGACCATGCACCCGGTCGGGTCTGATGTAAAATCCGAAACTGCCTGGAAAATCATCAGACCCGGTCGGGTCCCCTACTTGACCCGGTCGGGTCAGACTTGACCCGGGACACCAGAACGTGCCGAAGATCGCCAGAACGTGGAGGATATCTGATTTTGACCGGACCCGGTCGGGTAAGCACCTAACCCGGTCGGGTACCCGGCCCAAGGTGTTGAAAAACACCTATAAATAGCCCCATTTTCCTTCACAAAGAAGAACTCCTTCTTCCATACTCTTAAGCTCAGTTTAGAATAGTATTTCTTTTATATTTTTATAGCATGTTTAGTCTCCAAATGAGGTGCTAAACTTCCATTTCTTGGTGTTGCTCTTGAAGCTTGTTGATTATTAAAGTTGTGAGTTATTTTCTTAACTTCTTCCCTTGAATATTAATTATTCTCTTAATCTATCTATATATTAATGTTGGGAGTGTTGCTAAGATGACAATTAGTTAACATCTCGACATTAGTTATAGTAGTATTTATTTTCTTCCTCTATATATTAATGTTGGGGAGTGTTGCTAAGATGACAATTAGATAACATCTTGACATTAGTTATAGTAGGATTATTCATATTTAATCTTCTTCCTTGAATATTAATTCTTCCCTTAATCTATCTCTATATTAATGTTGGGGAGTGTTGCTAAGATGACAATTAGTTAACATCTCGACATTAATTACTACTAGAAACGATCAACGAACCGATGGTTAATCATTGATGGTTTCACAAGTAAGTAACTTCGGTTTATTAATGCACGGTCGTGGTTAATGAACTTAAGAGGGATTAATTTTGTTGGTTAAACCGAAACCGTTGTGTTGAGGTTATCAATCTCAATTGATTTCATCAAGGAGTTAAGAGATTAAATGCTACTATTAAGTCGGTATATGGCGGTGTTCTATACTTGACTAATAGTAAGGGTTATTAATGAACGGTCGTTGTTAATAACTACTCTCGATGAATTGGATATACTCCTCGATTGAGTATTCGAGAGGGAATAAACTATAGATATAACAATGATCGACTAAAATATATCAACAAGTGGAAAGTAGCAATGCCAAGTCTTTTTTATCTTTGAATTAAATCACATTTAAGTTGTTCATCTTTAATTTCTGTTTAATTAAATTAAATCATTCAATCCTAAACCCCCCTTTTTATTTACTAGTTCTATAAAAAGAGAATTATTCCTTTCCCTGTGGATACGAACTCTACTACGCTATACTACGAATTAGTGTTAGTATTGAATTTATTTTGACGCACCGTGACAAAGTGCACGTCATTATACTTCCTCTATCTCATTCAACTTTGTCATTCTTTTTTGTTTGTACAATTTTTTTGTCATTTTATTAAATTTGTGATTATGTTTGTTTCTGTTACGATTTAGGTTAAGCAAACGATAAATTAACGAGCAAGAACACAAGAATTTACGTGGTTCACACAATCGGGGTGATTGTGCTAGTCCACGGCGAACGAGAGAGAGCTGAGTATTATTATGTCCGCGTCAGGGTTTACACGTACATTAGAGATGTTTAAATAGGTTTAAGGAAACCTAATCACAATTAAGAGCCGCAGGCCCGGAAGCTAAGCCCGAAATTAAAATTTTCCGCCGACCCGGTCGGGTCAGCCCATAGACCCGGTCGGGTCTCTTCACAAAAAATATACCCGGGTCGTCACCAGGGCGGGTGTCGAAAACAGAAGCCAAAGGACCTTCATGACCCGGTCGGGTGACCTCCCTGACCCGGTCGGGTCCTGCATTCCAGTGAGTTCCCAGTTGAAATCTTCAACATACCCGATCGGGTCAAGAGCATAGACCCGATCGGGTCTTCAAACCAGAAAGTTGCCCGGCCAAAAATCTTCATACCCGATCGGATGACTAACTGTACCCGGTCGGGTATCTCATGTTTCTGCACAAACAAGACTCCATCTTCAACAATCTCCCACTTGGAGGCTTGTTCAACGATCATCTGCCATCCAAAGAACTTGTACCCTCTGCAAAACCCCTGATCTCTCTCTCTCTCTCGTTCACGCCTTCTCATCAAGTATCTGGAAGGCCAGTTGAAGCCATGCAAAGCTTCAACTTCTCCGTTGTCACCGCCTTGGTTAGCATGTCTGCTGGATTCTTCGTACCAAGGATCTTCTTCAAGTTTATAGTACCATCTTCAATCAACTCCCGGATGAAATGATACCGCATCTTGATGTGTTTCGTTCTGCTATGAAACACCGGATTCTTCGTGAGATGAATAGCACTCTGGTTGTCACAATATAGAACACAATCTCCTTGCTTCATGCCCAACTCCGAAAGAAAGTTCTTCAACCAGATCAACTCCTTGGCCGCTTCAGCAATGGCCATGTACTCTGCTTCTGTGGTTGAAAGAGCCACACTCTTCTGTAGTCTGGACATCCAACTGATTGCCGTGCCCCCAATAGTGAATACATATCCCGTAGTGCTCTTCCCGGAATCATAACAACCCCCCAAATCAGCATCAGCAAATCCTTCTAGGATCACACCATTCCTTCTGAAACATAGGGCAGTTTCAGAAGTACCTTTCAAGTAGCGTAACAACCACTTAACTCCTTCCCAATGTTCCTTCCCTGGATTTGACATGAACCTGCTAACAACTCCCACTGCATGAGCAATGTCTGGCCTTGTTGACACCATTGCGTACACCATTGCAACGGCTGATGCATAAGGGACTTTAGCCATCTCTTTTGTCTTCATTGGTCTTCGGAGACTGCTGCTTGGAAAGTTTCAGATGACTCCCTAACGGTGTACTCCTTGGTTTGGCATCTGTCATTTTGAACTTCTCAAGAACCTTCTGATTGTACTTCTGCTGTGAAAGCTGTAAAGTACCTTCTTCCCTGTTTCTGACTATGCTCATCCCAAGGATCTGTCTCGCTTTCCCTAAATCCTTCATCTCAAATTCTTCGGACAACTTCTTCTTAAGCTGATTGATCTCCTGCATGTTTGCTCCAGCCACCAACATGTCATCAACATACAAAAGAAGAATAATGTGTGATGACTTGAATTTCTTCAAGTAACAGCAATGGTCCATCTCACATCTAGTGTATCCATTTCGCTGCATAAAGCTGTCAAACTTCAGGTACCACTGTCTAGGAGCTTGCTTCAGCCCGTATAGACTCTTCTTGAGTTTGCATACCATCTTCTCTTTACCACTCACTGGGAAACCTGCTGGTTGGGCCATGTAAATGTCTTCTTCAAGGTCACCATGAAGAAAAGCAGTCTTCACATCCAGATGCTCCAAATGCAAATTTTCAGCAACAACGATACCAAGGATCAACCTGATAGTAGTCATCTTCACAACCGGGGAGAAGATTTCATTGTAATCAACCCCCTTCTTCTGTTGGAACCCCTTGACAACTAGCCTCGCCTTGTATCTTTTGCTCCCATCAGCTTCATCTTTGATTCTGAACACCCACTTGTTCTCCAAAGCTTTCTTTCCCGGTGGTAGCTTGACTAAGGACCAAGTTTGGTTCTTGTCAAGCGAATCTAACTCATCCTCCATGGCCTTCTTCCACTGTATGGAATCCTTCACGGTCAGCGCCTCTGAGTAAGATTCTGGTTCTCCATTCTCGGTCAACAACAGGTAATTTGCTGAAGGAGAATATCGGTTAGGAGGTCTTCTGATTCTAGTGGACTGTCTAATGTGTGGAGTAGCTGCCTCTGAACTCCCACTATCTTCGTCACTCCCACTATCTTCAGAAATTCTTGTATCTCTTGAGCTCCCACTGCTCCCTGAACCTCCAGCCATGTCATCACAACCGGCAGGTTGTGCTATATCGTCTTCAGTCATCCCTTCAAACACCACTTGCTGTTTGTTTTCTGGTTGCTTGCCTTTGCTAGTTCCTACTGCAGGACCATCTTTATACAGGGCATTCTCGTTGAAGGTGGCATCTCTACTTCTGATAACCTTCTTGCTGTGGTTGTCCCAGAACCTGTAGCCCATGTCATCCATCCCATACCCAATAAAGATACACTTCTTTGCTTTTGCCTCGAGCTTGTCACTATCTGCATCTCTAATTTTGACATAAGAAATACAACCAAAAACTTTCAAGTGAGTAAGGGATACCTCTCGACCTTTCCATTCCTCTTCTGGAATTTTGAAATCAATGGGAGATGAGGGTCCTCTGTTGATCAAATAGGCTGCTGTGTTCACCGCATCTGCCCAGAACATCTTAGGAAGTCCTGCATGCAATCTCATGCTTCTGGCCCTCTCATTCAGTGTTCTGTTCATCCTCTCTGCAACACCATTTTGCTGTGGTGTTTCTGGAACCGTCTTCAGCATTCTGATCCCCTGTTCAGCACAATACTCTACAAACTCTGTGCTACTGTACTCACCCCCATTATCACTCTTTAAACACTTAATCTTAAGATTCGTTTCATTCTCTACTACAGCTTTGAACTTCTTAAAAGTGTTAAAGACTTCAGATTTATTTTTAAGAAAATAAACACATACCTTCTGTGTAGAGTCATCAATGAATGTAACATAGTAACGGGAACCTCCAATCGAAGAGACCTTTGGGGGTCCGTAGACATCTGAATGAATCAACTCCAGCCGCTCAGTCTTGGGTTGCTGCCCTGTCTTCACAAAGGTTACCCTCTTTTGTTTGCCTAGAACACAAGGCTCACAAAAGCTCAACTTTGAATTCTTCAAATCTGGGATTTTGCCCTTTGAAGACAGCATCTTCATTCCGTTCTCACTTATGTGCCCAAGTCTTTGGTGCCACAAGGTAGAGACCCCTATATCTTCAACTGCTGCGTTTGCCCCATCTGTGGACACTTCAACCATGTACAGTGTACCATGCTTCTGCCCACGAGCAATGACCAGCTTTCCCTTTGTCACCTTCCATTGCTTGTTGCCAAAACTAACGTTATGGCCTTCCTCATCAAGCTGTCCAACTGAGATCAACATCTTCTTCAGGTCTGGAATATACCTCACGTCTTTCAGCCTCCAGGTTGTACCCAAAGAGGTACTGAGATCAACATCTCCAATACCCGTGATCTCCAGGGATTTGTCATCCGCCAAACGAACTCTTCCACTGTAGGGCCTGAAATTTTTCATCAAATCCCTGCAATGACAAGCATGAAACGACGCACCTGAATCCATGATCCAGGACTCAACTGAATTCTCAACACTACAAATAAGAGCATCTTCATAATCCTCTGCCACGTTCACCTCCTTCTTGCCTTTGTCTGCAGGGGGTTTTGGGCACTGATTTCTGAAGTGTCCATTCTCTTTGCAATTCCAACAATTGATGTCCTTCCAGTTCTTGGATTGCCCTCTCTTTCTCGACTTCGATCTTCCCTTCTTGTTACCTCCTCTAGTGGATTTTCTGTCCCTATCTTCAGTACTCAACAAACTGTTGGAGCTATCCCCCGAACTCCTCCTCCGGATATCCTCACCAAGGATTAAGTCACGAATACCTTCAAAGGTAAGCTTAGTCGTTCCAGATGAACTACTAACTGCTGTGACTGTACCGGACCAACTATCGGGCAAAGATGATAACAAAAGTAATGCTTGGACTTCATCATCGAATTTAATCTCAACCGAGCCTAACCTGGATATGATTGAATTAAACTCGTTGATGTGATCTGCCACGGATGCACCTTCCTTCATTCTTGTATTCACCAACTGTCTAATCAAGAAAACCTTGTTTGCTGCTGAGGGTTTCTCATACATGTTGGATAACGCCTTGAGCAGTCCAAACGTTGTCTTCTCGTTGACGATGTTGTAGGCAACGTTCTTCGTCAACGACAACCTCACCACACCAAGAGCCTGTCGATCCAACAAATTCCATTCCGCCTCCGTCATCGTTTCTGGTTTGTTCTCAGACAACGGTTGATGAAGCTTCTTCTGGTAGAGATAATCCTCGATCTGCATCTTCCAGAAAGCAAAATCTTGACCATCAAATTTATCGATCTTAACCTTCCCTTCGTCAGCCATAGCTCTGATACCAATTGTTACGATTTAGGTTAAGCAAACGATAAATTAACGAGCAAGAACACAAGAATTTACGTGGTTCACACAATCGGGGTGATTGTGCTAGTCCACGGCGAACGAGAGAGAACTGAGTATTATTATGTCTGCGTCAGGGTTTACACGTACATTAGAGATGTTTAAATAGGTTTAAGGAAACCTAATCACAATTAAGAGCCGCAGGCCCGGAAGCTAAGCCCGAAATTAAAATTTTCCGCCGACCCGGTCGGGTCAGCCCATAGACCCGGTCGGGTCTCTTCACAAAAAATATACTCGGGTCGTCACCAGGGCGGGTGTCGAAAACAGAAGCCAAAGGACCTTCATGACCCGGTCGGGTGACCTCCCTGACCCGGTCGGGTCCTGCATTCCAGTGAGTTCCCAGTTGAAATCTTCAACATACCCGATCGGTTCAAGAGCATAGACCCGATCGGGTCTTCAAACCAGAAAGTTGCCCGGCCAAAAATCTTCATACCCGATCGGATGACTAACTGTACCCGGTCGGGTATCTCATGTTTCTGCACAAACAAGACTCCATCTTCAACAGTTTCTCTCTCTTTATCGCAAATTTTAACCTCACAATTTTTTATTTTATTGTTTCTCACCTAATTTGAAGTTGACAAAGTTCATCCTTTACGTGGACATTGTAATATTAGATTTGTATTAGCTCCATTCCAATGGACATTGTAATACTCCGTATTAGATTTGTATTAGCTCCATTGCATTGGACATTGCACACTTTGAATTAGATGAGAAATATGAAACGAAAAAAATTGTGCGATTGAGATTTGTGTAAAAATAGAAAAGTAGTAATACCATAAATCAGTAACTTTAATGAAAAAGTAGTAAATCAGAAGAAAATAAGAGTGGAAAGGTATTGGGAGAGTTTTGGTGAGCTGAGTTTTTTTGTAAGCTTGATTATCACCCTGTGATTTTTGTGTGTTATAAGTATCAGAATTTTCTGAGCTCATAAGTTGAACTAGACCAGTTCATCTAGCTGCGGGGTGAATCAGGAATCTAGATTTGTTTGAATTGAATTGAAGTCTAAACATAACGGGGTGAGCTAAATATGAAAAAAAAATTGTTCATAACATTTCATTTTATTATATTCAGATCAAATCTCAACTACAATTTTTGTCTTTTTAATCACTTTATCAAAAATTGTGTCAAAACTAAATGAGACACATAAAATGGAACGTGATAGTAATACTTGGATTTGAGTTCAATCCTAATCCTAATGTAGATCCTCCTCTATCTATTCGTGACTCTGTGCAATTGTATTTTGTTCTTGAAAGAGCGGAAGAACCCACACAAAATAATAGTGAAACTTTACTGGGAGAGTTCGGGAGTGAGTTGCTACTTCTTATTTGAATACTCGGTACATTTTTTCGAAAATATTCATATCAGAAAAAAATATCTAAATCAAATAAATATCTTTCATATAAATAGGGGAATTGAAAATAATTAAAATATCTCAAACTTTGAAGGGGTGTGAGATAAACACACCAAACTTTCATGATCATGTAAAATGTTATTTTTAACATCATGATCATGTATTATTTCTTTCAAAATATAAACTTATGGTGTTAAATGAATATTTTAAAATAGCAAATTAAAAACATTAGAATTATATATAGTGGGGGGTAATACTATTTATTTTACAATGGAAGTTTATAATGTTAAATGTAGAATGCTAAAAATTATCAAATTATGAAATAAAGACCAAAAATGAATATTTTTTAAAGAAATAATACATGATCATGGTGCTAAATTAATTTTTTATATAAAGTTTGAGATATTTAAATTACATATGCAAGTTTGGGGTTCTTATCTCACACCTCATCAAATTTGGAGTATTTTAATTAGTTTCCCCCATATAAATAAGAAAATAAAAGTTAAGAAATTCATATACATCAGAAACATTGAAATTAGTATCATTCATTATTTTATGACTCACATCGATCATAACCACTACGTCCTATTCATCGTTATAACTCTTTCATTAATACATTATTTAGAATTTGGTGAATCATTTATTCGTTTATTGAAATAAATAACAAACGTAATTTGTTTAATTTCTTCATAGATGACATGCTATCTTTTCGTATTTATCTTGTTACTAATATTATTATTGTAAATGCTGTTATTTATTACGTAGTACAATTGTTAATGATAAATAGAAGTTTGCACCCCTAATTTTTAATTTTTTAACTGAGTTTTCATTTCAATTACAAAATAATTGAAATTTGAACACAAAACATGAAATTTTGCACATAATGACATAATTATGTGCAAAATTCGCATCCCCGTTTTGAGAGATTTATTTGGGACGACTTTGGGTGCAAACATTAATCATTTTCAAAATGGTTCAAAATCAAATTAGGACAAAACTGGGATGCAAACTAAAATATCCAGATATGATGCTAATTAATAGTATTTGTAAATATAATCATTTTCTTATTACTAGGGGTGTTTGGAACTGATTCTGCTTTTGCTTCTTTTTTAAAACAAAATCAGAATCAGGTTTTAGAAGCTGGTCACCCCCAGCTTCTGAAAAAACTGATTTTAGGAGTAAACTAGAGCATCAGAATCACTTCTGCACGTTCACCCAAACACAAAGATATGACTAATAGTTATTAATTTATTATAGTATATTGTCATAATCGCTAAAATGTAAAAATTAAATATAAGTTACTATAACTAAGTTACTACAATAGTCATTATAAGAGATCATATTTTGGTAATCTATCTTTATTTTAGCCATAAATATATAATAATTTCATATATTTAGCCCATTCAGCGTCAGATGATTGAACCACCAACGAAATGCGCTCATTCAAATTTGGAATGAAGAATAGGAATCGAATTCAAATATTTTCATTTATCAAACAAGAGAAGAGGCCAGAGGGCTTGCCTGGAGAAGATCTCCAATGTTAATAACAAGAGCTCCTGGGGTAGGGGGGACATCCACCCACTGGTTATGGTGAAGAATTTGAAGGCAGACAATATCATCATCTTGGAGCAAAACTGTGAGGAAGTCATTATCAGAATGATTGCTGGCGCCCAAAGTGAGGTTGGGTTCTGGACAGGCTGGGTAGTAATGCCCCAGGATGGCTAGCCCCTTGTTGCAATCAATGTCTTTGAAATAGTTCCTATGGAGGCCCAAAGCCTCTGACAATAGCTCAAACAAAACAACCCCCAATTTTTGCACTTCATCAGAATATTTGAACATAATATCCCTGCATCAAAGCAACTCCCTCAGAATGTACACAATAAAATACTTCCTCCTTCCGGCGAACAATGTTCCATTTGAGTTGCATACATTTTTATGTAAGAGCATCTCCAATGTTAAAACGTTAACGGTTAAAACGTTAACGGTGCATACGTGGAATGAGAGATAGCCAATTAAAAAATAATAAATAGAATATATCTCTCCTTATTTGAAGGATCTTGTTTCATTTTGGTAAGTTGTTCTTCACAATGTCAAGCACAATGTCTAGATGTAGACATTGTGCTTGACATTGCAGAGAAAAACTTACCAAAAACACATAAAACCGTGGAAAGAATGAGAGAGAAATGTCATAAATTCAATTTTTTGTGTCTATCTCTCTCATGCCACATGAGCACCGTGCACATTGTAGCATTGGAGATGTTCTAAGTTTGAAGAAGTTGACTTTCCCAAAGACACCCCTACTTCCCACCCCCCCACCCCCCCCCCAAAAAAAAAGACACCCCTACTTCATATCATGAAAAAATAATTTAAATATCTAAAAAAAATTGAAGTAGTGTCCAGTCTCCAAATCATTCGCACATGTAATATAAAGTATATACTTCAAACATTATATAAAAATTATGTTAAAGCCATATAATATGTGTTCTCTTTCACAAATGTAAATTTATGATGATAAGTATATAATTTAAAACACACAAAGCATTTTTGAGGATGCAATTAAAATCAAATTGTACTGAATGTAATATTATTTACATATAAAATTTTAGAGTGTTAGCATTTGCAAAAGTGTGTGTAAAAGATTTTTTTCGGGAAGAAATAAGCTTTTTTTGTAATATTCTTCTAAACCTATTATAACTAAATCTGTTATAATAGGTGATGTGGCACACATGTAGCAGTCAACAATGATTTTGCTGACGTGGCTCAATTGAACGTTTTTTCAAAGTTCGGAGATTTGATTGATTTTTTAAAGTGTGAGGATATAATTGACTTTTTTTTGTAATAGTACGAGAATCTAATTGACAATTTTCCCAAAATCTTTTTGAGATGGTACAATGAGTAGTATCTCAAATAAGTCTGTAGCTTCTAGCTTTAACTTGTCCCAATAGTTTGTATGACATATATAACTAAATCAAATAGTCAGCTTTTTATCAAACGGTTACTATATTTTTCTTTTTTAAATATTTTACGTAACTAAAATTCTCCTAAAATATCTGGCCGCGGAGCAGTGGTCTGCTTTTGGCTAAGGTAGAGCGATCACGAGTTTTTCTCTCTAGGGTTTCGACTATGTCGGCCGCTGGAGCCTTTTTCCGATTTCGACTTTGTCGAAGATCGGCTTTGTTATCCCTTGGTCGCTGGTGCTCGATTGGAGTCCAGGTCAGACGTGGAGGGCGGAGATCGGTGGAGGAGGGCGGATTTGCTGTCATGGCTCGAGGAGATCGGCACTGTGGTCAAGGTTTGAGGATGCGGCGTTGCTGTCTTCATTGGAGAAGATCGGCGTCGCCTATCCGTTTACTCTGATCGCACGTATTAGGGATGAGTTTGGTTATGCAAGGACGGAGGATTGATGCCTGAATTGGTTTTTAGTCCGAGTCACTGGTTTTCGGATCAATCCGAGTGGCACGGGTCAGCTTTTTTAAACATGGACTTCAGCCCAATGGCGTATACCCCGTATTAAACATGTACGAAGTAATTAACATATACGAAGTAGATACGTACGTAGTATGTATACTACGTATTTAATACTCTGTATTTTGTATTTAATGTGTTCTGCATTTTTCGCTTTATTTTTATCTTAACTAACTTTGCGGTTTATAATTGGGAGATTTACCCAAATAGGAGCAATTAAATTCTTAATTGTCAAAATAGGACAATAGTTTAAAAATTCCTCAAATAGGAGTTAATATTTTTAGTTAGACATAAACACTCCTGAAGCTTGGAAAACAGAAATCTGCTGACAAAACTCAAACCGCCGCCGGCCGCCGGCGCCGCCTCAGAATAGGACGCCTCCTCTACGGATGTGGCAGCTGCCAATACAGATCTGGCCATTTTTGTGCAGATCTAGCTATCTCCGTCGTAGATCTAACCAGATCTGGCCGCCGCCAGCCTTGCAAATCCGACGGCCGCCGTTGGATGTCTGACCACTGCCGCTGCAGGTCCGGGCGACCCCGCAGCTAATGCCAACAGCTTTTTCTGAATGCCAAAATGAATCACGAATGCCATTTTAATGGCATTTTTGAAAGAAATTACAAAACTTTTTGAAGTGTAAGAATGCCATTTAGATGGCATTTTCAGGTAAAGTTTGGCAATTTGAAGCACAACACGAGAAATAGAGATAAAATCTGAAACAAATGGCAGATTGGTAGCATCTTCCGTTGCCTTTGCCGCCTCACAGAACAACCATTGTCGATGAACAAAAATATGCCAGATGTTTTCTAAGAATGCCACTTTATCTCAAAAGTGTACTCCCACGCTGCTCGCCCCTGCTTGCCGATGCTCGCCGCCACAGCACTCTGCCGCCGCTCGCTGCACCAGATGACTTCGTTGTTCCATATTTTCAATCGAAGAAGATAAGAGGAGAAGAAAACTCACCATCTTGCAGTATGAGTAGATTGGAAACATAAGTGGTGTGAGGGAAGAGATTAAGAATTGGGGAAGAAAACCTAGGGTATGTTTGGCACAACTAGCTAAAAAGATACTTTTACGAGCTTTTTAGTAACTGTTAGCTTTTAGTGACTAAAAAGATCTTAAAAAGAAAAGGTGATAGCTGTTTGGTAAAAAGCTGACTGTTTGATTTAGTTCGGTTTGGTATACAAGCTGTTAGGACTAATTTAAACTAAAAGTCACGAGCTTTTCTCAGATGCTACACCTGGTAGCATCTCAAAAAAGATCTTTTAATTTTTGAAAAGCTCTTAAAAAATGTCATGCCAAACATACAACTAGAGTCTTTTAAGGTCTTTTTAAAGAATAGAGAAGCTATAAGCTAGAGTCTTTTGTGTGCCAAACATAGCCCTAATCTACGGAAGAGAAGTTAGAAACTTAGAATCGATGATGCGTGGAAAAGGGATAGGTCTGGGCGGAGGAGAAAGATACACGTAGGAGGGTAAATTTGGAATAATAATCCTATTTAGGGGATAAAATTAATCTAGTCCTATTTGAGAATTTGAACACTAACTTAGTCCTACGGAAGGCAAAAAACTCTTTATAATTTTCCTTAAAGCTAAAATTACTTAAATAAACACAACTCATTCACTATGAATAAGTTCTATTTTATACGAACCCATCCAGTGGTGGGAGATTTGGATCAATAAATCAAGGTTCAAATCCCTGCAGTGACCGGGTGAAGGTCACAGAACCTGAAATAAGGCTGGATCTCTGGTGCGTACGATTGTATGGGCCTACTACCACTTTGCTGACCGAGTCACCGTGACTAACCTCTCCACCATCCTGTCGGGTCAGAGTGGGGGCTCCTGGAGTGGGAGATTCCACTTTTGGACCAAAGTTCTATTTTATACGAAAATGAAGGGAAAAAGGGCAAATAAGTCCTCGAACTAACCAAAAAAGTGCAAATAAACCCTTATATAGGAGGTTCTGTCCGGACGTCGCCATTTGGGGAGGTTCCCGGTGGAAGTTTTTTATGAATTTTTTTGAGTATCTTCTTCATTAGGTCAATTTATCCATATCAAATTTTAGCTACAAATTCAATCGGAAAGGCACTCAAATGAATTTTTGAAGATAACTGCGCAGTTAAACAACACCGTATATTTGAGAAAATCATTTGACTGCCTTCTCGGTTGAAGTTTTAGCTGAAATTTGGTATGACTAAACTAGACTTAATAGACAAGACGCTCAAAACCTTTCATCAAAAAATTTCATTGGGAACCTTCCGGAATGATGACGGCTGGACAAAGCCTCATATATATAAGGACGTATTTGAACTTTTTTTGTTAGTTCGAGGGTTTATTTGACCCTATTCCCGAAAATAAAAGCAAATATTTCACGATCCTATTTGAAACAGTTTCTTTTTCTTAACACAATAAAAAAGTATGTACCTGCAAACGGGAGGCAACTGGTGAGGTTGAGGGGGATTGGGAGCCATGGAACAGTGGAAAGTGTCCCTCCAATTAGCCGCCGGCGCCTGAAACAGATCAAAGTTTGAGTTGTACATGAACGTCGCCGCCAAATCGCGGGTGTACCATTCCTTCTTCGCCTCCGTGTCCTGCTCGTGGAACGCCCGCACCCCGCCCTTGATCTCATCCAGCACGCCGATCGGAATCCCGTGGTTGACGACCTGGAAGAACCCCCACCGCTCCAGCGCTTGCCGGACTTCCTCCACCACCCGCCGCCGGTCGGGCTCGCTCAGGTGGATGCCTCCCAGGTCTATGGTGGGTATGCCGGAAACTGAAACGGACGGGAGTTGGTTGATTCCGGGGTCGATGAAAGCTTTTGGGACTTTGGTTATGCCGGCGTCGACTAGCCCTTTCACGCCGGCTTTCGTCTCGTCAAAGGCTTTGAGCTCACTGAGCCGGTCGTATTTTGGACCGTTTTCATGGTTCAGCAGTGTGGCTTTCATTTTGATCGCCTTACGGATTGAGTCCATAATAATACGGTTGTTTATACACTTATACCTGGTTTTGCTACGTACGACAAAGGTATTTACTGATGGGCCCATATGATTGGAAAATCATTGAACAATTTTTCAAAGTCAAATAAATTGGTGGTATTTCCAATTCATGATACTCCCTAATATATTTAGAGTTTAATATTTTATCCATTGTGTGAAGTTAGTTTGCGTTATTTGTAAACACTCCTTATCTTATTATTAGATACAAGAACTAATTCCACTTTACTCTAAGGATGAGTTTTTATTTTCACATTAAAGATGTTTTTTACTTGGACTATAATTTGTCCCAGATCAGATCAGACCAGATCATAATAGACCAGATCAGATCAGACTTGAATAGTTATAAAAATACAAAGAAACCAGACCAGACCATGCCAGACCAGACCAGACCAGTAATTTACAGTCCAAGTAAAAACATCCTTAATCTACATTTTTCACTTTTTCCATTTTTGATATATAATCAATATTATTTGATCATTTACAATTTTTTTTGTCTAATTTTCGGATGCCTCAGTAGCGATTTTAACCATAAGAATATTGATGGAAGGACCATATATGAACGAAAAACAATAGTCATGTTTAAAAAGTGATCAAAGTCAAAGACGGGGATTAATTATGGAAATAGAGTAATACTCGTAGCACCAAAAGTGAAATTTATTCTAGATGTAATAGAAATAAACACTCCCTCCATTACAATAATATTATACTCCCAATGGTATTCAGTTATTGGCAAATTAAGGCTAAATATTGTTTTTTCATTCTTTCCAAACATTCTTTTTTATCTGTTCCCATATAAACTCCTTTTATCTTTTTGACAAAAAATATGGTTCAGAATATTTGGTTCTGACTGTCTCTTTCATCCCTACAAATTTAGACCCTTTTAGCCAAAAAATATCTCATTAGTATGTATATATTTATACGTTGTGAATTCGTGGGAGAGGAAGAGATATTAGTTTGTGGTGAGGAAATGGGCGGCGAGCCAGGTTGATCACTTGTTGGATCTCCAAACGCGGAGGTATGGGGCACGTGAAGCTGTGCAGTGAGGCATTTAATTACGTTGAGCAGCTCCACCACCGCCGTACTTCATTTACGACTGTAAATGAAGGGGTTGGAGAAGAAGCCTTAGCTTAGCGGCAGAGATTGAGCCATGTATCCGAGTATTGTAAAAAAAAGTTACTATACTCCGTGTTGAATTAGTTGCAACGTTGCAAATTACACACTATTCATGTACTCTATTTTGATTACATTTTATTTATTAATGTAAGTGAATTATTTTTTTGAAATGATTTTCCATCTTGTGGCTTAAAAAAATTTAAATGAGTGTTTTCAAATGTCAGCTTCAGCTTAAATTAAACATTTAAAAGTTAAAAGCTGGGAAATAGGTGGAAAAGTGCTCTAAATTGCTTCTCACTTTTTTATTACACAAAAAACACTTATTTTATCAAACATTATCAACTTTTACTTTTTTTCAGAAATATTTTTTTCTCAAACATTGTCAACTTTTACTATTAAATGTTTTCTCCAAAATCACTTTAAAAATCACTTTTTTGAAGTAAAAGTAATCACAAACACTACTTAAAAAATATAGTTCGTATAAGATGAAATTTTAAAAATAACACAGTACAGAGTACTACGTATGATAGATAGTAGGGAAAACTGTCAAATAGGTCCTCGAACTTTCATAAAAAAATCAATTAAGTCCTTCTATAGAAGACTCTGTCCGGTCGTTGCGATTTGGGACGGTTCCCGGTGGAATTTTTTGATGAAATTTTTTGAGCATCTTATTCATCAAGTCTAGTTTATTCATACCAAATTTCAGCTAAAAATTTAATCGGGAGCGCATTCAAATTAATTTGAGAACGTAAAAATGTGCAAATAACTTCAAGAATTAATTTGAATGTCTTCCCGATTGAATTTTTAGCTGAAATTTGGTATGAGTAAACTAAGTTTGGTGAATAAGATGCTCAAAAAAATTCATCAAAAAATTCCACCGGGAATTACTTCAAATCGAGACGGCCGGACAAAACCTCCTATAGAAGGACTTAATTGATCTTTTAATGAAAGTTCGAGGACCTACCTAATTGTTAGTGTCATATATAGTATCGTTACTTGTTATTTTTAAAAATAACATTGTATGATACTCCGTTTGTTAAACTACTTTTTTTTTTGGCAAGCATTAAACTACTTAAGACTATACTCCATATAAGTTGAAATTTCAAAAATAACATAGTATGTCAATAGTATTTGTTAGTACTCCCACCGCCCAAAATGAGAGACTTGTTTCTTTTGTGCACAAAGATTAAGAAAGTGTGGTAGAAAGACTAAAGAACCTTACTTTATTGTATTGTTCATCCTTTTATTTTTACTATTCATTAAAAAGGAGGGGTATAAATGATAATCCACTTTCAGTTCTTTACCAAAAAGGGAAACAAGATCATCATTTTGGGACATCCCAAAAAGGAAACGTAGGACCATCATTTTGGGACGGAGGGAGTATCAATTAACACTACTTAAAAAATACTTCGTATAAGTTGATAAGTTGAAATTTCAACTCGAAAAATGGGTTAAAACAACAAATGTAATGTTATCCTCAGAAGTAGGGATGGACCCGATTCGGCCCGGTTCAAAAATTGGTCTTGTATTGTACTGAATCAATCCCAATCCTAATTCCGTATTTCAATAATTTCACGGACCCGGGATTGACCGTAGTAAAAAATAGGGAAAAGTACGGAAAACGTACTTGTGGTTGGACCCGTTTTCAGATAGGGTCATGTGTTTCATTCTTTATCCAAGTGGTTCATGTGTTTGAATTTCGTTATCACAAAAGGGTCACACCGTTAAAAACGTCTGAAAAACAACGTTAAAAGTAACTCCGATTTTCAAAAGTGCCCGAAAAATTAAAAGAAAACTATCGGAAGGTGCGACTCAATAAGACGACAGCTAGGTCATCTTTCTTTTTTGTTTTCAGCCACCCTTGTCACCGGAAAGTCCACCGGAAAAGTGATATTAGTGAAATCATTTTTAAAAATAATTCAAACTGATCTGAAAAATCCAGAAGCGAAGGTGGTTTGGAGGTCATCTTGACGAGACGCACCTTTCGGTATTTTTCTTTTAATTTTCCGGGCACTTTTGAAAATCGGAGTTACTTTAAACAATCTTTTTCAGACGTTTTTGACGACGTGACCCTCTTGTGATAACGGAATTCAAACACATGAACCTCTTTGATAAAGAACGAAACACATGACCCTATCTGAAAACAGACTCAACCACAAGTAGTTTTTCTGTACTTTTCTCTAAAAAATAAGAATTAAAAACCCGCCCGAAGCGGCCAGGGACCTATATTCCCGGGTCGGTTCCGGACCCATATGTTAGAACGGGACCTGAACCAGGACTGGACCGTGAATAGGTCCACTTCTACTTAGAAGTCTCAGAACTACTTATTTCACTAAAAAATCTAAAAATTATTATAGACCTCTACTTTATACAAACTTCAACATCGTATCTATATTGGTTATCCATCGCTAATGAATACCACAAACTTTTTAAGTAGTACTTTCTAGATCTTATGATATGCTCATAGATATTCAATCGTTATGATGTGCACACTTGACTTCATGCACTTGAGGTTATTATATTAACAATCGATAGATCAATTGTTCATGAAATTGGTAATATTTATATTTGTTTCAGTTGATAGTAAAAGTTGGAGTACGTAAAACATGATCATATTACTAAAAGAGTAAAAGGTATGCGATGCCGAATTACGATCGAATTATATTTATGAACATTTTAAATTCTGTTAAATCATTGGTAGCATTACTGAAAACAAAAAATGAGAACACCAAGGAGTTTCAACATGTTTATTAATTTAATCAAATCCTCAAAATGGTGCTCAACCCAAATTGAATTTCATTACTAATGTAAGATTCTCTGCTGAATGTTGAATATAATAGGTGTTGAATATAAAAGGCATGCCCATAGTTATTCCCTTAAAAGTAAATGAATTAAAATGAAAAATACACGAATATACTCAAGTTGGAACAATTGAAAATCTCCCCAGATAAAGAGCAATTGATAGAAACACAATGCTTCCTAAGAATTAACTGTTAAGAAAACATATTTTGTCAAATTGAGGCTCATGTCAGTTCTAGAATGGATCTACTTTTCATCCGAAGACGTAGCCAACAAAGCCGACCAACAAATTGAAATGGCTAAACTGATAATCAGATTTGTGTTCATCGGAGGCAATGAGGCATTGCGAAGGTGATGTTGGCAGTGCTGATGGAATTTAGAACAGAGAGATTTTACAGTCAGAAATCTGCAGTCCTCCTTTGTAATTCCATTTCTTCAGAGTTCAAATGGGAAGAAGTATGAAGCCAAAGTTATAGTATCATATTGGCCCCTTTTCAAGTAGTTGCTTACAAAAAAATTGAAAGTTTTAGGTATAAATGTATTCCGTATTTATTTACCACATTCGTTTTAGGTATATACAGATTAATTCAGTGTCAAAACTCTTGGATCAGTACATGATTCAAGCACTAATAAGATATACAAAAATATGTGAATTGAAAGAATATACTTGTATTTGGATACCTTGGAGAATTGTAATGAAGCATACAATAAAATGATTTGGAAGAAATGGACTGCACAACAACAAAAATAAAAATAAACCTCTAGAACTACACAACCCAATAACACAAATGAAATACTATATGCCTGGGCTGCTTTCCCTAAACTATGACAGTTAGCTATGACAGTTAGCTATGACAGTTAGCTATGATCTATAAAGATGGATATTATAAAGCGAAACTAACTATATCTTACATTCTTACACCATCCACTTTGTACCTAAATGAAAATTGACACTGGAATGTTGCATAAACCAAGCACTTGAAAATAATATAGTGCATAGAAGTACTTAAATTCTTGTATTTCACTAAACCAGACCAAAAGGAGAAATACTACTCCATCCCAAAAATAAGAATACAAAGCAAAGTTAATTACAGGATGAGTGATGACTATGATGATCAGAGGCACCAATCCAATGCAATGCTAAAAATTTCTCGCTGTGCCCCCCTAGACCGATTTTTAGAACATTCCAATCATATAGGATAATGATGCATGCGTCAAAACCCAGCAAAACACTTAACATATGTCATGATCCTGGAAAATACTATGGAAATGAAAATAAAGATAAGAAAAATTAATTATGTTCTGTGTTAACTTTTCAAATGGAAAGAAAAATGGAATATAATCAATGCTTTTTTATATAGATTTTGAATCCTACACTCTCCCATATGTTAGTGGTAGGAGAAACTCGTTTCTACAAACTTCAAGCATCATTCTTCTAGTATGTGCAGCTTTACTCTAATGTAGAAAAAATACTCATTACTTAGTAGAATAGTTGTAGTGCTACTACTGTATATAAGCTAACATGCAGACAGTCTCATCTTGGACTTCCAATTCCTTCTTCAGTGACAGTATGAAGAATTTCTTCTTCAGCAACTGTTCCGATTCCTGCTTCAGTGTTGCTCTTCTTTGCTGGAGGTCCTCTGGCTACTAGCATGCCATCACCACCAAAAGTTTTGGGTTTCGCATGGTCAACAAAGATAACACGCCCATGTAGAGGCTACAATCATTCACGAATACGATGAAGATGCAAAGTTAATAAGCTGAAGAGATTCGGTGTATGCATATATCCATACATGTATGTGCAATTGTGCATCATCATCGCCACCGTCTTCTTTTTTATCATGACCTAAATTCTTGCAATTAATTGAAATTGACAAACTTAACCTTGGATGGAAATTTCTTCGAGGTAGATAATTAAATGAATTAAGAATATAAGTAACTAATAAACATGCGCTACTTATGAACATAGATAAGACCGTGATCCACATGGTTGGAAATAATAATAAAAATCAAAATTTTTAAATAAAAACTTATAATACTTTTTAAAAAACAGATACTATAAAAAGCACAGTATAAAAATACTAAAAACAAAAAACTATCCGCAAAAAAATGAACTGCAGAAGATTTCTGCTAAATGTGAGTGAATGGTTAATATGGACTTTCATTGTCAACTTAATTTTACGATAGCCCTCCAGTTGAATAACGAGATGAAATTCCAAAAATTGTCAACATCAGGGTTGTCCATTTGGAAGGGGAGCTTTGGCGCACCGGTTAAAGTGTTAGTGTGTGACTGAGAGGTCACAAGTTGAAGTCTTGGGAATGGCCTCTTGACAAAATTTGACAAGAGAAGCCTTGCCCCTTGTACACCCTTGTGGTGGGAGTGTGGGACCCTTCCCTGGATCCTTGCCTTGTGGGGATGCCTTCGTGCACCGGGATGTCCAGGTTGTCCATTTGCATGTAATTGTATCCTGAGAGAGCGATGTATGTGCATCTTGTGTACATATAGAATCTACAAACATATGGAAATTGGGTATACATACCTTCCCATTCATCTCTCTCAGAGCTCTATCTGCTTCATCTTGTGATGCATAAGTGACAAACCCAAACCCCTTTGATTTTTCTGAGGTTCTATTAGTGACTATTTTAGCTGAAAACAAAAAATACACACATAAGGAGGTTATGCTCTTGTTAGCTTTAAAGAATGAGCAGTGTATCTTTTTTGCCTGACGGACACACCTTCAATGACTTGGCCAAACTGAGAAAATGCATTTGACAACACCTTTTCTGTGGTGTAAAATGAAATCCCTGCACCATTTACAAAATAGAAGAAACAAAAAGTAGATAAAAAAAGTTTGCCCAAATATAGGTATTGACAGATATGTACAATACGGTATTGTACATATGGTCAATTGCAATAAACATCAATAAGCTGAAATAGCCATTTGAAGAAATTAAGAAAAGGAAGAAAATTTATAGAACACATGCTCAGTAGAGACAAACACGAACAGCATATCTCATTCTATAAACGACAATTCAAATAACTCAACAACTTATGTTAGCACACATTAGCAGATGAATTATTTATCAAAAGATATACTAGTACTGATTTCGGTATATAATGAAATCGCTTGGCTATCAATTTATAGTTTGTAAGAGTTGCGATTACTTTTGTTCTATAATGAATAGTCGGTGTCATTTAAATTTGCTTTCCCATGGAAGAGCAATAACTTCATGTTTATTAAAAAACATGAAAAATAACCACATTTTTGTAAGGCCGTATATGTTAAATTGAAGGAGCATACTATTAACCATGTAAACATAAAACATGATTGACACAATCAAATTATTTCCATCACTAAAACCTGGGAGCTCACTAACCATCACATCATTTATACAACATTGACAATGCAATAGTAATCATTTTTTTCTAAGGCCTTGCAGAGTTTTTCATATTTAAACAAAACCATTTATCATGGAAACTAGTAAAAACATATTTTGTTAATTGATAGAATCTATTATACCTAATTGATGCATTATACTCCATTACTCCACAAATCTAATCCTAAATTAGCTAGCTGATGATAATAAACAAGTATTAGAGAGAGACCTCCGACAAAGAGCTTGGAAGCGATGCCTCTTCGAGAGCGAAAGAGATAAGAGGGCTGTGCTGAATGAGTGAGAACATTCTGCAGCCTTCTAAGAGCAGCCATGCTTCTCCCTCTGTTGTCCCTCTGAACTCCACAATTAGGGTGCGTTCAAAATGGCATTTAGGCAAAAAAAAAAAACAAAAAATGTCAAATAAGAGCTTCTATTTCGTATCCATTATTTAAGTCATTATATTAAAAGAAGTATCATGTAAGTACGTCTACTTTTAAAATACAATTCACTAAACTCTTTGATTTGCTATAGCAGGTTCTTATTTTTTTAATTAAATTAGGAATATTGATAAATGTTACAAAAATACATTTTAATTTGAATAAATAATCTAATAATAATGTAAAAATAGTATAAATATAAAAAAAATAGTCATAATTTTATAAACATTAAAGCAAAAAAAAATAATCATAAAACTGAAAAGATAATGTGAAAATAAAAAAAATAAATAAATAAAAACCTCTGAAATAGATGTCGAATATACAAATTTTTTTAACAATTCAAAAAAAATTAAATTTAATATTCTGAAAGCTTTCACAATTTTTGTATCTATTTCGTAAAACTTCAAAAAAAAAATAGAATTTTTAAGCATTAAAAACTTGCTATTACAGATCAAAAACTGATTAAATGGTCAAATTGATTCATTTTGTAAAGTAAGTGTACTTATATGATACTTTTTTTAATACAGGGGTATAAGTGACGGTTTGGAAATAGTATAAGGGCTTATTTGAACCTTTTTTCAAAACAAAGGTCATGATTTGATCTCTTATACAGTTATACATTTCAGGTTAGTGATCCACATTGTTTAGTAAATAATTGTTCAGCTATAACATTTTTGTGTGGAAATAATTGGTGTTAGTAATTAAGTAGTAATTGTTTAGCCATAGCATTTTTTTATGGAAATAATTGCTCTACACATTTTTATAAATGGTTTTTGTGCATACCTTTATTTGGTCCACGTGTACGTCTAACTAGTCATGGACCCGGGCCGGGCCGGTTCCGGTTCGGGAATGACCCCGGGCGGGCTTCTTTTTTGGGAAGGAAGAACCGGAACCGGCCTGGGTAGGCAGCGGTTCCAGACCAGGCGGGGCCAGTTTCATGTTATTTTTTTGTTTAATTTTCTTTTGCTTTTCTAATTAACCCCTGACCCCCCCCCCCCCCCCTTCACCCCCACCCATAGGCCAGGACTCAGGCCGGGTGGCCCGACCCGGAACCGTCCCGAACCGGCACTATTCCGGCCCGGCCCGGTGGCCCGATCAGTGACCGGTCCAGGTAGGCCTGACCCGCATGGGTTCCGGTCCGGGCTCGGGCCCCCCAAACCATGAACCGGCCCAGCCGGTTCGGGCCCGTTTTCGAGGCCTTTTTAATTTTTTTTTTCAATTTTTTTACTTTTCGAGTTAGGCTGGGTATTTTGGGCCATTTGGGGTGGTTTTGGGGGTGGGGGGGGGGGGGGGGGTTAACTAGGGAAAGGGAAAAAAATTAACAAAGGCCCGAGGCCCGGCCCGAACCGGAACCGAGGATTACCCGGGCCGGTTCTGGGCCCCCATCCCAGAACCGCCGGCCCGAGTCCAGCCCTACCCACCCCCCAAACCCCCCCCCCCCCCAAAACACCCAGACCAACCTGGGAGAACCCAAAAAATTGAAAAAACAAAAAAAAAGAAAGAAATAGGTCGGGCCCATTCCGGGCCGGTTCCTTTTTTTTTAGGCCCGCCCCGTTTTACCCCCTGGTTCGGGTGGCTTGGGCCAGTCCTATGACCGGGTACCGGGCCAGGCCCAAACAGTACCGGTCCCGGGCCGGGTGGCCCGACCCGAATCCATGACTACGTCTAACTTTCAAAACTTTTACATTTTTCTACAACGTTTTGGTTTAGCGTTTTGAAATATAGCATTACCCGGTATAATCATCGGCTAGCTAGCTAATTAGGATTAGATTTTCAAAAAAGTGTTTGAAAATGCAATTTGTGGAGTGCTTAAAGTTTTTATGATTTCACTAATTTTGAGTAATCCTAAACCGAACTCAAGCTGTCAAGCATAATGAAATAAGGAATGTTGACACAATTTTATAGAACTAATATATATATATATATATATATATATATATATATATATATATATATATATATATATATATATATATATATATATACACACGTAGTATATATATATAAACATTCCTTAGACAAATTAATAAATAAAAAAAATACGTCCTGTAAAGATTGTCGGGTTTTCACGTCTTTCCTTGCAATATGTCCCGTTAAGATTGTCTCATACCAAATTTAGTAAAGTTTGTATGAATCTAAATCATTCTTAATGTATTCCTACTTTATCATTATAACATCAACCACTAAACTCACTTTTCTTAACAATCTTGTCACATTTTTATGTCCTAATGTTGGTGGGACAGAGATGGTAACACGGTAAACAACAATAATTCTCAAGTTGGCTTTTTAATATAATATTTTGATACGCATTGTTCGGAGTAATAAATTAAAAGAATGCATCCAAAAACCAGCAATACTACTGGACGTGGATTCAATTTACGGTATAATTTGCTGAAAAATGGACGTCAAAGTAACTCAAAAATTGTAACAAAATGCGATATAGTAACAAGTTAACAAGACAATAACAACACTACCGAATTATGTAGGTCTCTATCAGCCCATTTTAAACTAATAAAGAATACAGAATTACACACCGTTAATAGAGAAAAAACTGGCACACCACAAGAATTTAGAGAGCAGTTTCACAAATCATCTTTTCCAAAGACAAAACGGTCCAGCCAACCAAATCAATCACATTCTGTGACGCCCAAAGGTAGCTAACATTAAACTCCGACCCATATACAAACAAATTCACACTCGACTTTCACCATAAGATTAAAACATACGAAACTATAAATGAATTATGTGTTCTAACTCTGGTCCTCAGAGAAGGCAGACAAAACCTTTAAATGAAAGAAATACAGAGAGAAAAAATGATTACACTTACTAATGCACCCATCTCCACCAGTGTGGAGTATATATGCATAATGGTCATAAACAAATGAACTCAGAAGTTTATGATGCCACCATGTTCATTAATTAGAACTCTCAAGGTTGGTGTACTTTTGACAACGTCTGGTAGACCAAGTCGATAAACTGATTGTCCTGTCATCAGAAACAAAAACATGAATATAGTAAAGCATCAAATTTCATCATCATGAGAAAACTGGTTTTATATCAATTAAACAAAAAGTTCATTATATACCTGAACTAGCATTAGAAGTGCATCTCGGACTTTTTCTCTGCTTAGTGTCACATTAATAGGAGTGGGGTTAGAAGTGAGTGAGAGGGGCGGTGTAGGAGGAGGGAAGGGTTGAAGTATTGGTGCACCATGTGGGCGCTGTTGAGTCAGAGGGGGAGGATTAAGAGAAGGCATCGTTTGGATAGAGGTGGGCATAGGGTTCATTGGCATTGCGGGTGACATAGGGGGAGGTGTGAAGAAAGAAGAAGGCTTGAGAAGAGCAGCAATCTGATTGGTTTTGTTCATCCGGTCAGTGCCATCATGCAGAGATAAAAGTGATGGAGCAGCTGAATTAGGGGGAAGAGTTGGGACATGTGGTGTGGGGCTGGGTACACGTGCAGTTGGAGCTAAGGTTTGGGCAGAAGGATAGTATATTGGCCCAGTGTTTGGAAGCTTAGACGAGGATACACCTATACTCGTGGCCGCCTGCAAGAATTCAACCATTCATACTTGTCACGGTGGTAAGGCGAGGCGCGGCGCTAGCTGACCGCCTTATCGCCTAGGCGCCTGCCTAGGCAACAATTAGGCGACTAGTCGCACCATATGTAATATTTAAATATGTAAAATAATATATTTAAAGATATCTCCAATTTGTAATTTATTATATACTATATAATACAAATAAAAATATGCATTACCTAGTTTTGGAAGCAACGATTAATAATTCAAAACAGGGTTTACTAAATCAAAGCCAGGGTAAATCAAAATTTGAAAAAAAAAAATCTAAAATATTAAATCTAACATAAACAATTTGTAAAGGTGGTGCATACAACAAACACAAGTATGCAGCATATAAAGACATAATTAGACTAAAGGACCTGCAGTATACTGCGTATTATGTGAAGGAACAAGAAACGTTCAGTCGAGGAAAAGCTGGGGAAAAATGGGAAAACATAGAAAGAAGACCTGCGGAATTTTGATTAACGATTTTCTATTCTCCTGGACTTAGATGCGACTCTGCAACTTGAATTCTTAAACTCGACGGACATCTTTTGAGATTCAACTGGACTTCGACTGCGATTTTCGTTCTGAAACTCATCACGCATCTTTGACTGGAGTTCGACGAAGGCTTTATATTTACATTATAAATCTTTTTTGGGTCTGGGTTATGTCGATTCTACTCTTTTCTGGTGTCGCCTTTCGCCTAACCTACGCCTAATCTATGCCTGGACGACGTCGAAGTCGCCTGGTCTTCTTCAGGCGGGGCGATGATGCTTGGCGACCACTTTCCACCGCCAGGTCGCCTAGTCGCCGACTAGGCGACGCCGTAACAACTATGCAACCATTATTATTTACATATGCTTAAGCTGCATTTGATTGCTGGAAAATAAGTGATATTAGAACATGTCCTTCACAAAAATAATGTATTATATATATATATATATCTGTATTACAATATAATAATGAATGTATACCACAGGAAAGTCAGGGGACAGGGGGAAAAGAGGAAACGAATAGAGCCTTAATGTATCCATTTACTTCATCCATTACCATTCACGCACTAGATAAAACATAACATATTACTCCTCATTAGACAGTTACACTTTATTTCTTGTCTAAAAAAGCAGTTCTAGGGGCTGGGTATGTTTCCTCGAGTATTAGCCGGGCAATTGCCAAAAACACCTTTACTTAAAAAAAAGAATGTTGACAAAGACTCGCTATTTCTTGGCTTGGGAATATCATGGAAGAAAGCAAAAGGGCTCACTAAACTGTGCGCTTCTTTGTTATGAAAGAGCAGTCAATCCATGCAACTTTTGACGCGATTTTCGTCCTGGGTCATTCAGAAACAGTCTCTTTGTGCTCTGGCACTATGATAATGTTGTTGTTGTGTACTTAAAAAGAATGTTATGTTTCCATATATCCAAACTTTAATGTATCTAACAGAACATGTATCCTTACAAACTTGCTAAGTGACAAGCCTGTGAATAGAGTCTCCCCACTTAAAATGGAGAAAAATGTCATAAACACACCTAATGAGGAAAAGGAAGTAGCACATATGTTGAGTATGATAGTGCATTTAGAGAGCGTTAAGTAGGCAAAGAAGTTAGAAGACAAGGTAGTCAACCCTACAATCTTTTTGCATGCAATATTTAGAAATGAATGAATTAGGAATGCAATATAAGAGACTATGACTATACAGTAGTAGCAAGAAGTGGTTGTTTGAAGAAGCAACATATGGATAATGAATTAGGAAGTCATGATGTATTTTTTTGTGAGAATTACAAAAAAAGTAATTGTGGTTGTGAGCATTTTCAAATAGGGGTCTCAGATTCATTTTCTCACAAAGTGGTGTATGTGTTTTCAATCCATTAGCACCGCACCCATGTGGCCTCCGTCTAAACTCCATCAGAAAGAAGGTGACATACTGACATGTAACTTTTATATACATCCATGGCGTTTTCTTTTTTACGGCATTTAGACGGAGATCCCAAAATTGAAAACACATGCCCTGCTTTGTGAAAAAATGAATCTCAAACCCGTAATTGAAAATGCACACAACCACAAATAGCGTTTTTGTACTTGTTCCTTTTATATTCTACCATTAGAACCCATCCTATCACAGTTTCAAGTATACCCCCTCCTTCCGTCGCTTGAGGAGTTTTACAAGTGCATTTGATATGCCTTTTAGGGGAGTGCATTTTGTATAACTTCCCATTGGATACTTATGAGCCATGACAAATAATTGGCAAGCTATGTAGAGTGGGAAAAACAAGGGTAAAATTGTCATTTACTAGATAATTATAACAGAACAAGAGACACGAAGTTTCTTTTGAGATGAACAAAAAAGAAGTGTGAAATTTTCAAAGGATGAATGGAAGATATCTGATTCTGTGACTCATTTTCAATCCAACAACCACAGAACACATCCGAATCAGCTGGGAAATAAAAGTGTTCATGACCATTGGAAACTTACATCAAAGAAATTCAAGAAGGAGGAGTCATCAGCAACATCAGTGTGAGCAGGCACAGTAAATGACGGCTCTAGTGGCCCCTCAATCACTGCACTAGTTGGTACTGCCTCAAGTTCTTCATACTCACTGTCAAGACAATAAGATATGTTAAAAAGACAAGAAAGAGTCTATTAAGATAACACATGGGATCACTAATTTTCTCCTCGATGAACAATGATAATATATATCAAGTAGCTTTGGTTTCCATATGAAGAAAAGTTTTTTTACAAGACTTCATTTTGGCTGTCAAGAACTCAAGATAACTTTATTAAACAAAAAACTGCAACTCCAGCAGCACTTAATAATTTAGCATACTTAAGAAGTGATGAAACATCATCTGTATGTATAATGATATAATCACACTCGCCAATAGAGCTGAATTCCTTAACATTGCAGCGTACCTTTTGGTCGAGCTTAGCTTTGGCTTCGGAGAAACTTTCAAATATGCACTAAGAATTCTGGATAAAAGATACAAAATAGATTAAACTTTAAGTGAGAAGATTTTATATGCCAGTTAATACACTAAAAACTATATAAGGAAAACTTTGTATTAATATATACAGGATATCATGCAACAATAAAATTAAACAAGCCTTATCATTCTTTTGAAGTATGAACTTTTTTACAGTTATCACGGGAGAGTCTTAAACAAGCAAATTAAACAAGCAAGACACCAAAGTCAAATATCTTAATATCCTCCTGTTTATGACCAGCATAATTTCTGTATACAGAGCTACAAAGTACAAACAAAAGAGAATTTCTTTCATGATTTACAAGATCCAAGAGAATCCTTTTTAATGACTTCTTCTTTAAAAACACTTCAATATGAAATTGTATTCAGCTAAAGCTATCAAACAGTACATATATGAAAAATTGAAGAGGACCATGACTAGTACCAAAGATACTAATCCTAACCAATGTTACTACATATTTAGTGACCATCCCACAAAACATGTTTGTTAGACAAAGATACTTGCTTGAAGACAATTAATTCAGGAACATAATGTCTGCAATGTTTATATACAAGCATGTGTGATGTATACACCCAGAAAGCATCGACATCACTAGGTTACTGCTTCATTAATTCTAGCATTTACATACAGTTGAAGACTTTATGCCGTCAAATTTGATATGTAAAAGAGTTACCTACTAAATAGATTTCCGACCTCCTCACATTCACGTGAATTGTAAAACCAGATACCGTTTACTTCTTGATCTGCATTACGATACAACAGATATGGAACCTGAATTTCAAACTCGAAATCTTCCAAGAGATTCTCCACCAGATTCTCTGTTGATACCAAGGAAGAGACCGCGCACATTAGAATTAGAAAGAGAATAAAAAAGTTAGCACACAATACGAACTCTCTCAAAGCACAATTGATTGGAGATGACACAACAAGTCAACAATTTACTTAATGTTAATGCACATTAGCTGCATCAAGTTGTAAGAGCAAAGGCTACAGGTGTATTCAATTATTCTATGCAAAACAGGGTCGATAACCTGATAGGGTTAGCTCTACTGAAGCCAATGAAGCTAAATGAAACCTCTCGGTATTTTTAAATAGGATTTGGCAGCACCAAAGGATGGTAATTGATAAAAAGGGGTGATCTGGAAGTTTGGAACAAAAGCACCTGCATGTGCAGGTTGAGACATCAAGGCCAAATGTTTGCAGCCCTTATATATTCATAAGAGGCTGTTTGCGTGGCTCAGACCTGCGACATTGAGGTCACATTGCAATAGCTTTACCACTCCACCCAAGTTCTCATTTGAGTGATAGAAATCAATGATGGTAAATAAATAGTGGGGTCAAGCTAATAGCATTCACAAACAACAACATCCAAGTCTTATTTCCAAAAGAGTATGAGATTGGCTAGCATGAATAGACATATGATATGGTATCGGACTTAAAAACAATAAATATAGAAAGAGGAAGACACACAAAAAAATATCAATCCTCCACAATAAAAAACAGCATTCAAATAAAAAAAAATCATAACAGCTTTCCATTTGTAAATCGAATTCCATGTTTGCCACACTCTTCAGAGTCAAAACCCGTGCAGGCCGTGCTTAGTCTAATAATGGTTCAGAATGGTGCTCAGTGCTCAGTCTCACACTTGTCATTCAAATACACATTTGCACACAGTCAAAGATTTTTTTTTAAATGAACTATTACGAAGCCAAAGAATGGAGCCAAAGAATCACTATTTTTTGGCTTGGGAATATGATGGAATAAAGCAATATGGCTCACTAAACTGTCTGAGTTTTTTTTTTATGAAGCAACAGTCAGTTCATGCAATTTTTAAGCAATTTTCATTATGGGTCATCCGGAAACAATTTCTTTGTGCTTTAGTACACGGGTAAGACTGCATGCATCCAACCCCCCTTACCCCACCGTAGGTGGGAGCCTTTTTGGCATTGGGGTAATGATGATGAACTATTATATGCCTTTCAGGCTAGAAACAAGAGATTAGTTAGCACGAGTTTAGCCTAATGGCTAATGGTACAAGTCAAGCTCAAAGAGCTTGACACTTGAGAGCCATCTCAACTTAATAAGTATCTCCATCAATGTGATATTTTAAACATACCAAATTGACACAAACACCCTTGCAATAAACTAATACGGAACAACCCAAAGATCTAACCAGATTTAATTAGACTAACCTGTATTCCGGCGGTTCATAACAACGAACTGGAACCTTGGTTGAGTGTTCCTAATAAAATAATACAAAAACAGCTATAAATGAGCATCCTTACAATAGAGTATTAAGAGCCTCAGCTAATGATAATCATACTAAACTACAGCAAACAACCAGACATAAAAACAGAGACAAGATTTAAGATTTGAGCATCAAAGTCATGAACTTGCAAGTTTCCAAATAGAACATTGTAACTTGTATGGAACTTCCTTTTTGAACTTTAAGCTCATAGACTCTGAGCTTACCAATTGGGAGAACAAAAAAACTTAGAAAGCATACAAGTATTTACCTTTAAATACCAAAAATCCATAAGATTCGATGTTGAATACAAATGATATGAATCATTGTTGCAAGATGCACGCCTTAGCAGAGAGGTGGACGAGGTGAAAGGGACAGAAGGAACGCCTAAGTGAAGGGGACCTTAATCCTCACTTTTTTAGGTTTTTATGTGGGATGAGTAAAGCAAATACTAAAAAATAAAGACTTTGGGACATATTACTTCCTGGTCTTCATCTAAACTGCCAACAACCCTGCAACTCCTCTTCCCAAACCAAGTTTACTAAGTAAATCAGGCAGCCAGTTCTCAAAGTTCCCCTCATCTTCTCCATTATCACTGTTCATTGCTCTTCTCTAGTTTTTCTTCTTTATTTCGACCTATTCTCCCCCTTCTTCCCCTCTTGTCCTCTCCTCCATTTTTCCTTTATTTCCTTGATGTCTCAATTATTAGTTTCGGAATTTATGCTTTCTGTTTTAATATTTAATTTTTAGTTTTTCCTTGAACTACTTCAGTAGCCTTGCAATACACGTAAGGTTACAAAGCACTACAGCCTTAGCACGCCCTTGAACTTTCACAGCACTGATACAAATATATATATATATATATATATATATATATATATATATATATATATATATATATATATATATATATATATATATATATATATATATATGCCCGCTCTGAGTTAGCTAGCTAGAATACAAATAGTATGCACATACCTCTTAACTACAAATAGAGAACCTTCAACATCCTTACGGCTCTGCATAAAAAAAGAGCTAATATTATAGAAGTGACATAGATGGAAAAATACTATGAAATCTATTACTAGTATTTGCTATAAGTATAAAATGAGTCAATCATTTTCAAAAGTTCTCTTTAAGACAGGGTTCATAAAAGGTAAAGTTACAATCCTTTCAAAGCTATGCATTTATTAAAAACAAAAGTTCCATAAAAAATTAAGTATTCTGTTTACTCCAAGGCATACTTGTACGTGCATTAAGAGGGATGTGATTGTCCAAGAGAAAATCAAAACTTTACCCAGTAAAGTGGAAGGAAAATATGTGTGTACAAAGGTTGAATCATTTCTCTCTTTCCAGAAAAATATGTTGAAAAGTACAAGTCATTTGAAGTCTATGGCCATGCTGAATTGATGCTGCAATAAATTTAAGTCCAATCACTTTTTTTTTTTGTTTTTCCTCCTTGCTATAGGCCAACTAACTACAAATTAGTATGGTGCTTTCAATCCTTTATTTGATTTTGAATTCATCTGTTTGATTGGCAAGAACTTGAACGATAATAGCTTTCCCCATCTCCTCATGATCTCAAGTTTATAACACTGATAAAAGAAAGTTAAGAATATGCCAACTAGTAACTGAACTACAACATCCAAGCCTTATTCCCAATCTGAAGTATAGAATCGACAACAAAAACAACAATCAATCCTTAAATTCCTAATCCAACAAAAACACCTCGAGATCATCCACTAAGCTCCTTTTATTGTGATGTACCATATATGCTCATTAAGTCTCAAAGCTTTGATGTATCTTTTACACCTTCAACCAAATAAAATAGATAATAATATCAATCTCTCTTTTTAAATTGAAAGCGGCAACAATGGTATCCATTTTCTATACAGATAATTGAAAGTTCCTACTAATAAGAATCCCAATGGACTTAAAAGGGGATAAAAACCCAGTTCTATATGTATATGTTCTGAGCGCCAACTCATACATCTGAATTTATTTTATTGGTATTGCAACCCCCCCCCCATTTTGAACTTTTCTATTTCCAAAGTAATCCTCATCAAACTGGTATTATTTTGATGGGAATCTTTAGGGGTAATTCATCAACTTGGTTAGATCTAATATGATAACGCCTTAGGCCAATACAATTTCACAGATATTCCTGTTATGATGCAAGAAAAGGACAAAATTGGATTCCAGCTTTTGTTTAGGTCTCCAACACTTCAAGATTCCACCCTCCGTACCAGTGAACTTGCTTCTCGGAGGGCTAACATGCCCAGAAAAAGTGTAACTACTTCTCCGCTTCTCGCTTACTTTATCTTCAATAACAGCTCTACTCACACTATTGTGGATCTCCTACACCTTTTTTGCACATCTACTTTTTTCATCCTTATCACAATTCCTCTTTAACAACCACAAATTCTACACATAACTTCTCTATTAAATCTTTCTTCATTGCGATATTTCTACATTGATCCTTATATTAAAGAGGTCTTATAGCAGTCTTATAATCTCGTTAAGTAATGTAGAAGAAAAGTGGGAAACTAGGCCCTGTAGGCTGTAGCCTTTTTGTCCAATTAATTTGTTTGTTCACGCAATATCATATGGTGTCTTCCATCATATGGTGTCTCTGTTTCTTTGTTATGAAGCAGCAGTCAGTCCATGCAATTTTGGACGTGATTTTCACTATGGGTCATTCGGAAACACTCTTTCTGTTCTTTAGCCTAAGGTGCTTTAGTGCAGGGGTAAGACTACGTACATCTGACCCCTTACCCTACCGTAGGTGGGAGCCTTTGCGGCATTGGGGTAAAGATGATGACGACGCAATATCATATAGTTCTTTCAAATATACTGTTTCATATAGGTTCTAAGAGTCAATTAGTTTTAAACAACTAATTGGCACTATAGCTTTAATGCCATCAACCCTATTGTAGTTGGGATTAAGGTGCTCACGATAATGATGGGATTACATAGTCTTGAACAAACACAAGTAAACAATTTCAATAGCCTTTGTTAAACAAGGGCCAAAGAACCAATTCGATCATATATTAAAGAAAGCTATAATCTCCAATGTGATAACTAATTCACGCTACAAGAGCTCAAATGTATGGGTTCAGTTGTCACTTATTGTACACGGCTATACCATAATCAATCAAAGCAGCATGTACCTAATTGAAGTTATTCCCAATAAATTATCAATATAACTTGGACGCTGATTATGAAAGAAAGGGAACGGAAGAACGAACCCACTGATTAATGTCGACATTGAACTCGTAGAAGGTGACATGAGCGGCAGTGATTAAGATCTCTTCAATGAAGGGATCAATTCTCTGAAGAACGGTGAGATTGAGCACCTTGGTGCTCCGCTCGTCTAGATTCGGAATCAACTTTCCAGTTTGGGAAGAAGACATCACTTCCCACACCAGTGAAACACAACGAACAGCTTAATCGATCGACAAGTCTTGGAGAGTAGGGAGCAGCAAGTAAGATCCTCCTGGTACTCTGTATTATTTGGTCAATTTCGAGAACTGGATATTTGTTCCTTCAAGGCTGCAACAACTCTTGTGGCCGTCTCGCGGACCTATTAAAAAATTGAAATTTATACGACGGCCAGACAAGTAGACAACTCGCGATATTTTTTTTTTTTTTTTTTTGAATAAATTCCACTTTTAGTACTACGAGTTTTAGGCCAAATCCACATTTAGTCCACATCTTTCACTTTGTCCACTTTTGATCCACAACTATTGGGTTTTCGCCCATATATGGTCCTTCTGGCATTGTTTCCAGTGGTTAAAATCACCGGAAAAGGACCACAAACGGTTAAAAAACATTAGTCAAGTACCAAAAGTGGACAAAGTGAAAGACGTGGACTAAATGTGGAATGGACACAAAACTCGTAGGACCAAAAGTGGAATTAATTATATTTTTTTGGATAGAGAATAGAGATTATCAATTTATCACTTAGAGCTGAGATTGATTACCTTACAAGAAAAGGATACGGACCTATGTAGCACCGATACCGGTACGCGGAAACGCGGAAACGCGGAAACGGGTACGGGGATACGTCAAAACTAAAAAAAGTAGGATACGGATACGGGGCCATATTTATAAATATTAAAAGTTACGGGGGTGTATTTACAAATATTAAAAGTTATAGGGGTCTATTTATAAATATTAAAAACAGATTTTTTTTAATATAATATATATATATATATATATATACATACATATAATATCCTATGATGTCTACTCATTCATTGCATTGAAACATTTTCCTTTTTCAAGATACTTAGTAATAAATTCATAATATTTCTCATATACACCAGTGTATCTCGAAATATAAATGTAGTCAATAAGTCATTAATTTAAAATGAGAAATAAGTCAAACAACTACAATCTTGAAATTAAAAGTGCAAGTACCCAATTCGGAGCATGAGTTAATGACTTAATTCGGATATAGCCATATAGGCCCATTATTTGATTACCAAGTAAAATGTAGTTTTAAATTTTCATTTTTTTTAGAATTTTATTAAGTAAATTTTCGGATTTTTTTAAAAAAAAAAAGTTGATACGGGTATCCGTCAGGATACGAGTATCGGAAACTTTCAAAAAATTACAAAAAAAAAATGGAAACTTTTAAAAATTGCAGATACGGCCCGGGAACGTACGGTACGGGTATCCTAGAGTATCGGATACGGGAACGTATCGGATACGCCGATACGCTACCCAAGGGAAGTATCCGTGCTTCATAGATACGGACTTACGGAGTATGTGTTATTTTACAAATTGGAACTATTATTAAGTATAATAAAATCTTTTCTGATGTAATAAAAAAAATTAAGTATAATAAAATAATTATAAAAGAAATAAAATTATTAGCTTATTTTATTACAAACTATCACCAAATTCACAAATCTATACTATTCTTTTATTTTTATAAAAAAAAACTCAAACTTCATTTTTTCAACAATTATGCTTTTCTTTTTTTGGTTTTTCAAAATTACACATTTTTATCAATATCAATTAGATATAAGCAATACAAATTTGTAAACTTGAAACTATAAACAAGTAAAAAAATATGAAATATGAATATGATTATCATCTTAATTTTTACTAATGTTGAAAGTGTAATTGTGAGATACTAATAAGGCAAATAAACTAATAAAACTGTCAAATGGACTCAACTTTGGGAAATGCTTCTAGTGAATTTAATAGCTAATTTGCACTTTGACTTTCAGTTCCTAATTTTTTCACGTAAAATATTGTTCTTGTTTGCTAAAATTCCTATTTAGATTAAGTTCACACAGTAACATAATTCTAATGTTAATTGTTTCACCAAAGTTTAACAATTTTTTTGAGTCATAAGTTCTTAATACATCTCTCTCACTAGTTCTTGCGGTGTCTTTTGAGAAACAATAGTGATTTGCTGATATCTTTGTGCATAAATTAAACATTCACAAAGATTTGTAGAAAAACGTGTAAAGAAATACAATTTACAATCAAGAAAGTCTGAAACAAACAATATATTTCATTATTTCTTTCACAAACATAAGTTTCGATGCACACTAACATGCATAGACATTAGCGTTAAGTGCATAATGTATACACCAGATTAGTGTGCACAAGCATCACTTTCGGATTCAAGTAAATTTTAATGAATGCACAAGCATATTTATTTTAAAAGTTATCATCATTAATTGCAGCAACTTACTTGAAAGTGAGCAATTGAGAACATTAATTTGATCACTATATATTTAGCTCCACATAGACAAACAAAATCACATTTGATCAATGCACCAAATTATTATTATTATTATTATTATTATTATTATTATTATTATTATTATTATTATTATTATTATATTATTATTATTATTATTATTATTATTATTATTATTTACAGAACTAAATTATTAATTTAGAGGTAAGGAATAGTGTAAAATAGTGACTTTTACACTTCTTTAATCTATTAATTGTTGTCTCACTTTATTTACTAGAGCATGTAACATTATTATTTTTTAATCTCACTTATTGATTTAAGAGAGTCATTGGAATATGACTATACTTTAAAGGTTTGGAGATGCTTGTAGTCCCTCCAAATATATTGCATTTTGTTTTACATCCCTATGTAATTATCTTTTGTATTACATCTCTGAATATTTATGTTGGTTTCTTTGGTTCATCACCGATAATAATAACCTTCGTTTGATAATAAACCACCATAATTAATAGATTTTCTCTGACTCTTTTCATGTTATTAAAAATATATTTAATTTTCATTTTTAGAATGTTTTTAATACCTATTTTTAAAATATGAATAATGTGAGTAATTATTTTTACATTGTTTTAACTCTCATATTAACAAGGATAAATTTAAAAGTTTCTAGTACCACATTGCCCCATTATATGTGCCTTATTTTGACTTGGGACAATTATTAATAATTTGGTTGAAAAATTTAAAATTTATAGTTGAGATTTTGTGTATAATAAAGGGAAATATTGTAAACCACATATTTCTTTCTGAAAAGAAAATATAATACGGAGTACTTTTTTGAAACAATTCAAAAAAAGAAAGTAAGACAAATAACAGTTTAGATATGTGTATCACTAAATCAATGTATTTAAGTATGTGATATTTGTAAGGACTAAAACCATTTTAAATGATGTGTATGTTACATTCTACCTAATACTCCGTATGACTCAATATTATTCATTTGAATGAAGAGACTAAATTAATTCGAATGTGACTAAATTATTAATTTATGCCCACACACCAATCAAGAGATCATCTACTATCGTCTGTGATTGGGAGCTGAATCAGAAGTAGGAAAGCTAGCCTACTTCTTTTTTATATAGTAAGATAGAGAGAAAGAGTTTATTTCGATAGAGAGAAAGAGGCTTTGTGTTCTATGCTAAGGATCATGTGATTCATGTCTCTGTAACAATAAATAAGGTAATCTTATTTTGGATAACCGCTAGTAAAAGGAATCTAGAGATAGTATCAACTGTTTTACAAAAGCCATGTTTTACTAACTGAACTAATTTTTCATTCAATTCACTAATCTTGTGAGCAAACCAAACAAGATAATGATAAGCAAACTAACAGATAAACTTTAACCTATATGTATAGTTCCATAACTTTTAGAACAGAATTGGGAAAAAATAATCTTACATACTAACTTTTAGTTGATAATTTGCAAAATAATACTTCAATTTTTCAATGAATGAACCAATTGCCACAATGATATTTTTGGTAAAGTATCTAAATGCTTTGTACCAATTGTGTAACATTTTAGATGTTTTGTACCATAATTTGGTTGGTAAAATTTAGTACGGTGGATAAGTGGATTCAAGAACAGGGTCGCAAGTAGTCATCGACCCGGTTCGACCCGCCCGGCCCGCTACTGTGCGGGCCCGAAACCGGCCCGGTTTTGGGGGCCGGGTCCAGTTCGGGCACCGAACTGGTGGGGTGTGGCGGGTGCGGGCTCAGGGCTATGTTTTGGCGGCCCGGGTCCGGGCCTAACGGTCACAATTTTTTTTTAAAAAAAATCTTTTCTTTTTAAAACACCCTTTTGGGCTGTTGACCCACTTCCCAAACGGCTATATAGCCGTTGGGTGTGGGTACCAGAGGGGCCGGGGCTTTTGGGGGGTGGGGGTAAAAAAAAACATATAAATACTCCTCATTTTAAATACTTATACACCTATTTTGTAACATTTGTAAATTATAAATCAAACCACTTTTCTAAGTAAAAATAGCTTTACTTAATTCATTAAATTAATTAACTTATTTTACAATATGTATAATTTAAAAAATATTTAAAAAAAATTAAAAAAAAAAACAGCTCCCAAACGGCTATATAGCCGTTAGGGCTTTGGGTGGGGGGTAGGGGGGTCCCGGGTGGTGGTGGTGTGGGGAGAGGTGTTCAAAAACATCTATAAATACATCTATTTTCTAACATTTTTCTACACCTCTTCTCCAACTCTTCTCCATCTTCATCTTCTCTTATTATCTTACATTCCTACTTATACGCCTACCGTTTTAAAGATGAAAAGTACATCTTCCCTTATGCTGTTATGCAAAACAATTTTGATAAGTGGAAGAACCCGAAGACCGGACTGTGGTGTGCAACTTGCAAGTGGTGCAAGAAAGAGTGTAGCTTGGGGCGTTCACACGGATACGGAATGGCAATAAAACATATGAAGTCCTGTGACAAAGGGAAAACAACAACCAACGGTGGCGGAAATCCCAATTAATATTTATTAGAAAATGTATTTCATATTGTTGTTTTTTCTCAATTCTCAAATGTAGTTCCTATTTCAAATAAATGCACTTCAACTTTGTTTTTAATAAGAATTTGTATATTCTATAATAATAATAAAAAAATTATGACCCGGCCCGGCCCGACGGGTGGCCCAACCCGTGACCCGGGCGGGTGGCCCGGCCCGAACCGGCACCGGCCATAGCCCGGGCCGGTCCCGGGCCTACCTCTACCTGACCCGAGGCCCGGCCCGGGTCCATCACTAGTCGCAAGGATAAAGATCTTCTCAGTTCTAATTCATAGTTCATACAGGAGTATGATCTTAGAACTTGGGTATCCAACCCTTATGGCCTAACAGGAAAAAAATACAGCCCGTCAAGAATTGTTGAGTATTTCTGTCTTTCTGAGCAATGGACCAGTCATTGCAATCTCCATCCACGATCTTCAAGCGCACTTATAACCGCACCCGCAGCCTCTTTGGTATCATTCAATGGAGAATATGTCCATCTTTCTTTACATATCTGAGTGATAAACACAACTAAGTGAGTCGGAGAACAAAAGAACTTGGAAATTAGTGTTATAAGATGTTTAAAAAAGAAGTTCACGAAGACTAGAAGAAAAAAGTAGCTCACATTTTCTTTCCCTGTGAACGGCCGTACCATGCATCGTTCTCTGAGGGATTTGTGGAAATCTGTAAACTTCCATCTACATCGCTCAGCTCCAATCACATAAACAGGCTTCCTGCATTCAATGTCGAAAGAGTTGATATAGTTGAATTTAATAAGAAAGATTAGTAAAAAAAATGCAATGAATTGCCAATAGCCCAATACATTTTTTGGGATGCAGTATCATTCATTTAATTTTAAAACCTCATAATTCTAATTATGATACTGATTCATAAAATCATAATTTTGTCAAACACCCCTCCTAGGCGTAAAACTGAGAGTATGGAACTCAAAGTCTCACACTATTATTGTGGGCACATAAATAACATACCCTGTACTGCAGGCCTCACTCAACATGCTAATTGAGTCAGCCGTGATGACAAAAGCATCTGCCAAAGCTAAATGTCCCATATGTGGGTTTGGACCTGTAATATGTTTGATGTCATGTTAAGCTTCATTAGTACAAGGCTTCACATCCCATTATTCTTTGTTGTCGAGGAAACTGAATGGTGAAGTAATGGATAAAGTAATGCGGAGTATATAGTACCTTCCCCATTCCAAATGTAAACTTTAGGATGATTTCCTAGTTTGAGCACTACAAGATCTGCAACCTGTTCATGAAAGCACTAAAATGATTCAGAACATGAAAATTTGAAATAAGATGAGTCTGTTCGGCACGTCGAGCTGAAAAGTCTAGCTGAAAAGCCGATGGCTAGGCACTGAAATTTCTTGGTTAGAAATGCTTGATAAAACATGTATAGTCGTATAGATGATGAATTAATAATATGCAAAAGACATAAAAAGAGTGTTTCTTGGAGCAGTAAAAGACAGATGCCGGATATATTTTAGTAATAGGTGGCTTATGCTTCAGATGCTTGGCTTATGTATATATTTATTTTCACACAAGCGCTTATTTTAAGTTCCTATTTTATCCTCTAAATAAAGACAATGGCTATTTAGAGCTTAAAATAAGCTTTAAGCTCGTTAATGATATTTACTGAAAATACAAGAAAACAAACCAATCATGCTTTACCATCTTGGGAGTTCTACGTGAAAAAGAAATTCTGACACTTCCACAAGTTGGAATAACATTTTGCAGTGACGATGTGAGCTCATTTGCCAGGTCTTCACCATATTTACAATGGGCTGTATAACAAATTGTTAGTGGGAAATTGGGCACATGTTACTTCAAAGTTCAAACTAGCATACTTACACACTGCTATTTAATAAGTGAGTACTCACAAATCACAATGTACTACCTACATGGTCAGATTTAAAAAAACGAGTTACTCTGTGAGTGCCAGGAAATTTTAGTGACTTGGTGATTCCGATTACTCGACAAGTAACTCGGTCAAAGTTAAATGTGGAAAATCGAAAATGAGAATTGGATATTCAAAAAAACCAAGGAACTTCAATTTAATACGGAGTAAGATACATTGAATAGTTCATAAAACTACAAATTCTTATTCAAGATGTGTTTATGGAAAACTGGACATGGACGGAGATGAAGACAGTGCTGATCTTGTACCAAATTGTGATTAATTTAAGATACAAGAAGTTAGGATTTATTAGATGGAAAAAAAATTCTTTAAATGCTTTATGCATTATGCTAGTTATTGAGGATTATTGTTTGTTGCTTCACATTTGAAATTTGTAGCATACAATTTTTTTAAAAAGGTGTGCCATACTCAAACACAACCCTTTTTTGTGTAAAAAACTAAAAAAACATGACTCTTTTTTTGAGGGTATAATTTATAGAAGGTTCATTAATTCTACACTTCAGTAACAAGACCTTATCAAGGGTAACATAACAAGGTGGATGCACAAGACTTACAAGTGGGTCCTCCAATGTTTACCACAAGCAATGGTTTTGGCAGTAGTCCAATTTCCTCATGCCAGGCAGAAGCAGCACTTTGCAGTGAGCTGCAATCAATTTGATGAAGGGCTCCTATAGTGAGGACCTGCACTTTATTATTTTTATGTGGGCAAAGGGCTCCGGAAACATGGTCTTTACACACTTGCAACTTTGCAAGCAAAGATCTCCGTTTTGCAGCTATTCTATTGCAAAAGAGAAAAATGAAAAAAAGCATATACCACATGCTTTTCTGGAGGGTTTTGAGGTGTTATCCACCTCCGAATAAGTTTAGGAATCTGCTTTTGCCCATCAGGTGTGAGTGGATAATAATCATGTCGAGGTGTGATGACTACATCAAACCAATTCAGATGTGACCTGGGGTGTTGAATCTGGAAGCATAAGAAATGTCAGTTTCATTCTTTAAATTTAGCATACTTATTTGATGGGAGAAAGATGGTTTGAAGAAGCTCAATTTATGCATAATTTAGTTCTGAAATAAATGAATGCATCTCAACTCATCGTCCTTTCATGATATCTTTCATGCAAGTGAAAGATTTATGATAAAGGTGGTTTTGAAAAATAATTAAATTTAGGTAATTACTTAATAGATACTGTAAATTTCATGCCACTGACCCCAACTAGTTTGGATTAAGGTGGTAGTTGTGAGTTATGACTGGTGATGAAGATGAAATAGCACGACATTGTTTCACTAAACCTGGACAAGAAAAACATTTTCTGGTGCTAACCGCTTTACAGAACATGCAGTGGAAATTGTATCTCGCCCCGATGCAACCACCAACATAGGCCCCTCCCTGAAGAAGTTAGAAAACCAAGAGCAAGAAATTATAGATGGTAGGATTATTAATTGTTCAAATTGAGAGAAAAAAGTATTTCAAGGAAGCCCATCTTCTGACCTACCAGACAAAGGAAACTCTTTCCGGGGAATGCACAAGGAAAGGAAAAGTTACTCCCTCCCACCAAATGACCCCTTAAATGGCAAGACTAAGAAAAGAGGATGCACACATACTTTTCGAATGTTTCATGAGCCACTTTTGCAATATGCTCAGCATCAGCTTCTGGTATAACTGAAACAAGTGAAGTTCAAAATTTCAAATGTCTCAATGTGCCATTCAAGCTTCCCGTGTGCAAAGCAGACCCCTTCATTGAAACCACGCCCAAGAAAATATCAGGAAGACCCATTTTTTCAAAATAGCAATTCAAGAACCAGATATATTGTAGAACACCCTAGTTTGAATAATTAGAAACCAACCTGTTTGTTTGGCAGGGAAATTAGTCACCTTATTCCATTTGTTACAAAATTGTGGCTCTAAATTCCTAAGAATCCAATTAAATGCATACACTGTTTTTTTGTGGAGCGAAACCGGCAACCAACGAAGACTCTCATTAATTCCTCCCCTAGGCCTAGTAACTCTCTGCACAAGCATAGCATGGGTGTAAAAAAGACGCATTTCTTTCAGAGATCAAGCTTTTCAAGATTGATGCCATGATGATGCTTTGAATTGGCACATTGGAGTTGATCAGCACAAGAGCAAATGAGGTATGTAACAAATTTTTATAAAAGAAAAAAGATACACTTTTCAAGGAGAACCCGTATGAGCTTTTCTCTTAGAAGGTGACCGAAACTTTAGTCTTTAGGTGATGAAAAGTTCCACAAAGCATGGATATCAATTTCTAGCATCATCAGTAAAGTTTTTCAATACATCTTAGCCATAAACTTTGTGATTACAAACGTGATAGTATAAGCATTACATCTTATTGCTTTGGAATTAAATAAGACAAACTATAATCACATTTAATATGTAAATCAGTTCCTCACCAAATTTGTCAATACCTTGTGATGATGATCTATTTCATTATTAGTACTTCGTACTGTACTAGTGATAATCACATTGAAGTTGATCGGCAAGTTATACAAGAGAAAATTACCACTAGAGACGCCATACATCATTTTTTGGGTTCAAAATGATTATTTAGTAGATGTTTGTAGACTTCTGTACATTTAATCTTGGCATCTCTTTATATCACTAAAATATCTCAGTCTAGTTTCTTTCGATGAATTTAATAATCAATTTTTTTTCTAGCTAACAAGCACCATGTCATCTGGTATATTATATCACTTCATTTTCTACGGAACTAATAACAGTAAAAGAAAATAATATAAACACTCTTAGGGGTAAATCTCAAGCTTTTGTCTTACAACTTGACCCAAACTTTCCGTGATGAAATGTTCGCAAAAGATGGAAAGCAATCTCTCGAATCATCAGCAAAAAAAAAACAATTTTCAATACAGTCTTAACGATCCACTTCATAATTAGTTAAGTGATAGTATAAGAATTGTTATTTTTGCTCCTCAATCAACAAAAACAAACTATCATCACATTTCACATGTAAATCAGTTCCTCACAAAAAAATTCATAATTCCTACTACCTCCGTCCCACTAACACTGGACATAATTACTTCATAATTACTACTATCTCCGTTCTACTAACACTAAACATAAATACTACTACCTTCGTCCCACTAACACTGGACATGAGGAGGTGGCACGATTATCAAGAAAAGTGAGTTTATGTGGTTAATATTAACGTAAGAATCAAGTAAGAATGATTTAGAACCACACAAATTTTACCAAATTTGATATGAGATGGACCGAAAAGGAAAGTTGGGACAATCTTAACGAGATAGAGAGAGTACTTTGTAGTGTACTTGTGCAATCAATCTGAGATACTAGCTATACTGCGGATTAGTCCATGGTAAACAACGAATAGACTTGTAAGAATTTAAATTCAGCTCAGTTAAAATGCAACGTAAGACACCAAATTAAAAATTGAAAGGAAGAAATCAAATGCAATGCATTAAAGAAACAGAGGATCATACATAGAGAGTATGCCGATGTGATAGGCCGAGGGCTCGAAGTAAACCGATGCACTGATTTTCTGCGCCGGCGACGCCGTTTCCGATCACCACTGCTCTGCTAACGATTCGCATAGGGTCGGCGGTCTTAAAAAATGATAGACTGGTTTTTGAAAATTGGGCGGGTTTTGTGATAACTGATTGACCGGATAACCCGGCCCATTTTGATACCCATCCGCTTAATTTAGCCTCCACAGTACACACTTCGACATTAGAATCTGCTGGAAGACGCGCGCCCTCGCGTACAGAGCTCACTCGCCAGGTTTGTGGATGTCGCAGAACACGGAAGGAGGGCCGCCGGAGGTCACACTGGCGACCTCAATGGGCTCTTTTACAGTTGAGGTAGTTCTCTTCTTCTTCTATAACACCTCATAGAAGTTTCAGATTTTGTGAGAACATATTCATGAAATAAATGAAAAATTAATCAGATGTACACCAAACACGCGCCGAGAACTTGCCGGAACTTCATTGAGCTCGCTCGGAGTGGTTACTATAACAACGTTAAGTTCCATAGGATCATCAAGGTGCTTCTTTTCTTTCCCCGAACAATGTCTCATTAACATATACACAGATTTAATGCCATATATTAGGGCTACTTCCATTTTTAATTTACGGTTGTGTGACTATGCCATGTGCTATACATCTATGGAGTAGGATTTCATTGTGCAAGGTGGCGATCCAACTGGTACCGGAAGAGGAGGACAATCCATTTACGAGTATTCTTTCTTTCTTTCCATGGCCCTTTCTTCATCTTTTCTATACATGTTTCGGGTCACTAACACAGTAACACATATATGCACATTTTGTATATACTGAAGCTTCTCTATTGTCAAGTCATGATTCTAGTCAGGGGGTTTAGTTTACTTCTGTTGAGGCGTGGTTATGCTTAGAAAGAGTAATGATAATTGAAACCCTTAATTATGTTCAAGCTTTTGGCTTTTCCTTCCATTTCTCAAGTGTCAAGTTCTGGTTCTTGGTAACACTTCATTCTGATGCATGTATTTGGCTAAATCATGTTTGGTAATTCTAGTAGTTGCTATTAGTGATGTGTGTTACAATGAACTTCAGAACTGCAATCTTCATTAAGTTAATTGAAAATGTATGAATTTTAATGAGGAACCATAAAACTGGCTAAAGAGGTGGATGAGACTAGAATTTGAAATGGGGTGTTTTGCTATAGAAAATAAAAAAAGGCATATCCATTTCTTGATTTTATTTTCCAAGATCCATATCGGGTGACAATGCTGGTGTGTTTATTCAATGTTCTAGAAGGTGGCGTCTTAGAGCATCTCCCATGCTACAATGTGTACGGTGCATATGTGGCATGAGAGAGATAGACACAAAAGATTAAATTTATGACATTTCTCTCTCCTTCTCTCCACGGTCTTATGTGTTTTTGGTATGTTTTTATCAACAATGTCAATCACAATGTTTACATCTAGACATTGTGTTTGACATTGTGGACTGTTCAAAAACATATAAGACCGTTCAAATAAGTAGATAGATATTCTATTTGTTGTTTTTTGAATTGGCAATCTCTCATGCCACGTAAGTACCGTTCACGTTTTTGCATTGGAGATGTTCTTAGCAAGGAGTGGAATGATCTTACTCTCTGATATTGTTTACCTACTTCTCCATCAATTTTGCAGTTCGAAATTTGATGATGAGATTGACAAAGAATTAAAACATACTGGAGCAGGTATTCTATCCATGGCTAATGCAGGACCAAACTCAAATGGAAGTCAATTCTTCATTACATTAGCACCTGCACAATCGCTGGATGGTAAGTATAGTTCTAAAGGATACTTTGCCTCAACTCGGATTGAGTTATCTTAAACACATTTTGAACTTATCTGTCTCCGTGTGATTGATTCTAATACAGTAATACTATCTCCGTCCCTTAAAACTTTGCCAAAGTTGACCGGCACAGAGAATCATAAAGTAAAAACTGTGTGGTTGAGGTTTGTATAGAGGAGAGAGAAATAATAGAAACCACACAATAATTGATTAAAAGAGAAAGTGACAAAGTTTTTTGGGACGTCCCAAAAAGGAAAGATGGCAAAGTTTTAAGGGACGTAGGGAGTAGTTTACTCTGAAAGGCAAGTTGGTGCCAAATACCCTATCTTAACCTTGAACATTAAAAGAAAGGCCGATTGATGTTTTACTCTTCAAACATCTCATTTACCCCATAAAGTAACCCAAATATCTCAATAAAGATCTTGAAGGCTCGAACTTTCGTAAAAAACAAAAAAAAATGTATTTTTGCAGGCGTCTCATAGACATATGCAATTTAAAATTGCCACTTTTAAGCCTAGACATTTCATTTATGAAAATACCTTGAACAAATAATTTCGGACAAAATGGCTGACAAGTTGCAAGTTTGCAAGAGTATAAAGAACATAGTAAATCTCAAATAGTTAAGCAATTTAACTCATGTTTGAGCTTTTTCAGGTAATTTTTTTGTCACTGTAACCAGTTGTCCAGTCATATCACGTGTGTGCTCATCTACAACTATCTTCATGTACCCTATCATGTGTGTGTTTGAGGCGACCCGTGACTGCATATGTGGCGTGTACCGGGGGGTCTGTCATGGCTCTTCTTGAATGTTTAAAGCATTATTGTGTGTTTTTCTTTTAGCTTATTGGGATTTTTAGGAGCCTAGGATCGACCGGGGGATGGGTTTAAGTGCATAGTAATTATGGGCCATTTGATGAGTATTCTTCTCACACTTCCGTACTTGCCCAACTGATAAGCCTTTTTTCTTTAAAAGAAATTACTCCCTCTATCCCAGGTTCAGTTTATGATGTTTGATTGGCCATAAAGTTAATTGATCCATGTCAATAATGAGATTATATTTTGTAAATAAAATTTAAATATTTAGAAACTACATTGAAAGTTTTATAAAGTCGCAAAAAAGACTCAAATTTGATAAAAGTCGGAGGATATATGAAGTAAAAGAATAAGAGCAATTTATCTGGGACGGAGGTAGTACCTTATACTCCGTATAAGATATTATGAATTAAATAAAACATAGACAAAATGGAAAACAGGACCAAATGTTTTTTCCGAGAAAAAGGAGTTCACTTTACCTGTTTACCTCTAACCCATAAAAGTTTAGGGTTTAGGGTTTAGTGTTTTAGCATATACTCCCTTCATCCCCCTAATATTGGGACGAAAGGGAGTGATGTGGTTTTTAAGAAAAGTAGAATTATGTGGTTGATAATGAGTTGATAAAGTGGGAAGAAAGTAAGAATGAATTGGAGCCACACAAATGTTACTAAATATGGTATGAGACAATAATAGGGGGACATCCAAAAATGAAAAAATGGGACAATTATTGGGGGCAGAGGGAGTACTACATATGATTTAGCATTTAGAGTTTTACGTTTTATCATTTACCATTTAGAATTTAGTGGTGGTGGGCATGGCCAGGTGGGGTGGGAGACGGGTAGCAACTGAGGCATGGTAGTGACATCTACAGAGGTCGGAGACTCGGAGGTCGGAGGCGGCCAGACAACTGTGGTTGCAGACTTGCTAATTGTATTCTAAGTAGCACCGGTACGGAAACGGGGACGGAAACGGGGACGGGGAAACTCTAATGTCAAAATATTAAGATACGGGTACGGCAAGGAAACGTCGAACTAAAATTTAAAATTTTACTAATATATAGGTAATGTTTACGTCCATCAATATGAAATAAATAAACAAAACATATCTCCATACTTAAAATACATTCCACATACATAATAAATAAACAGAAAAAGTAAATGTTTTACCAACTTCGGCCCATAAAATCAGACCAGCAAGAAAGTGGAAACAAGCCCACCCAAATCCCCAATTACGCACCGTACATCAAAGAGCAAACCAGCAGAAAGCAGATGCCTCACCAACTTCAGCCGGCCACTCCGTCCAGCAGACCAACACTCCAAGTCAGAGCTCGGAATCGCCTATTCTGCATCATGCGAGCGTGAGAGCGTCGCCTATTGCTTCTTCTTCCCATCTAGGATTCGCGAGTCGTTCGCAGACTTCACGGTCGCTTTTTCGCAGGTGCTGTTTTAGACTTTCAGTCTGCCGATTGGGAGTACGACCCATTTGACCGACCCAGATTTTTTTTAAAGAAAAAACTACAAGAAACGTGTCGGTGCACTGCAAAGCACGTTTCCGAAACGTTTCCAGCCTCAGGCCCAAAAGCCCACGACTGCAGAAACGTTTCCTGTCGTTTCCGAGCCGTTTCCCGGCGTTTCGCGTTTCCGAAACGTTTCCGGGACGGAAACCTCCCCCTAGTTGGCGTTTCCGTGCTTCCTAGATTGTATTATAAGAGATAAATTCTGATAGTAATAGTAATGTTATTATTTGTCAATCCATTTAATCTTTACTCCTGGACCCTGGGAATAAAAACATTGTAATCATATTAGGAAACACCTATGTTATCCTATAGCCACTAGAAATCATAATTGGGGTAAGTGTGGTGATTTGAGCTTTGAATGTTTCTCTCGAGATAAATTGCTTTACATAGAACTAAAACTTAGTACAGAGTAATTTATTTAAACGTGTACGATAAAGGTTTTTTTTTACAGTACGATAAAGGGTATTTGGGCAATCTAATAAATTTGAGCCTTAAATTTGTCTGAGATCCTATCTAGCGAAAAATGTCATTGCTGCTCCTAGTTGAAGATATCTCCCTTTCCGATTTCACCCATTAAATGATGAAGCTGCAGTTTGAGCTGATGGATATATACTGATATATTGCTAGGCAAACATACCATATTTGGAAGAGTCTGTCGAGGAATGGAAATTGTGAAGAGACTTGGCAGCGTTCAAACTGATAACACAGATAGGTAAAACCCTTTTTCTTTCTTACATTCATAAGCCCGTCTCAATAATATTGTACATTTAATCCGTGTCACTTGTATGTACATCTCCTTGGTTTCATTATTACACTAATGGGTAACTTTTTCTTGTTTATAACTTTAATAAAAACTGCATCTTCATGCCAAGGAAACTGCATCTAATGAGATTTTATGATCCTCATTTTAAAAGTGTTTCCACAGTTTTTGTTTTACATAATCTCACTCTATCACGAGATCATCAACACTAAATAATCTGGTTTCATATATTTTGATCCCGAATAATCACTTTCACTCAATCATACTCCGGAACCAACACATCACCAACTTGATTATCTAATAAGCCTATTCCTAAGAATGGAGCTGAACAAATTATTTTTCTGGGACCAGACCAAGCTGAGCGAGTAGCCACTGCTTTCCACTTTGTGTATTTCTTTTGACTTCAAAAAGCACTTTTTCTATTCCATATTTCCAGTAAATTGTTTCTATTTTAATGCAGACCTGTCCACGATGTGAAGATATTAAAGGCAACCGTTAAAGATTGATGTCATGCTGCACTACAAAAGGGCCGTCAATCTTTTCTCTCCGTCATTGAAAACCATAAAAGACACCATCTTTGGCCTGTGTTCAAATTGCTTTATTGCAGCCAATTGATATAATTTGACGGATGGAATGACTAGGCTTTATGTTTGTTATTACACAGTTTTATTGCATGGGAATTCTTTATTATTCCCCTCATAAACTAGATCCACTTATAGAACGGACCAGGAATCGACCTAGCCAAGTGATCAGGTCAAGGGTTATACAAAAGGCTAAAGATATAGAATTCCAAAAAAAAAGAATATTACCCGAAATAGAACTAAAAAGGTTTGAAAATGAAAAGTTCTCGAAATAGGACTAAAATAGTTTGAAAATTCTAAAATAGGATTACAATATTTTTATTTTTGAAATATGATTAATTACTGACATATTTTGGCAATACCAAACTTCAAACATGATAGTATTTTCCAAACTTGGCAGTAATTACTCATATTTTGAAAATAAAAAATATGTCAGTCATATTTTGAAATTTTCAAACTGTTTAGTCCTATTTGGGGAACTTTCCCAAAAAATATCAGTCGTATCTAATAACCTAATAATAAGAATGTGTAATAAAAATTAAAAACACATATTCTTAAATATAGGTTGAAACTTCATACTTTAAAGCCCTTTTAGGGCGGAGAATACTCTCAGCTAGTGCTGGACTCGGGCCGGTTCGGGTCTGGGCCCGGTCGGGCCTCGGGCCAGAAAATTGGGGCCCGAGCCCGAACCGCCGGTGGCCGGTTCCGATTCCGGGCCAAACCGGTCTATTTTTTTTTTTTTTTGGTTCTCCTATTTAACCCCCTACCCCTCCCCCTCAACCCCAAACCACCTCAAATGGCCCAAAATACCTAATCCAATCCAAAACTTAAAAAAATTTCAAAAAAAAAAAAAATTAAAATCCGGCCCGGACCGGGCCGGTTCACCTAAAGCAGGGCCCGAGCCCGGACCGCCCATCACCCGGGCCGAGCCAAACCGAACCGACGGACCCACGGGCCCTGGGCGGGGCCGGGCCAAACAGTAACCGGGCCGGGCCGGGCCAAATAGTAACCGGGTCGGGCCGCCCGGCCCGAGTCCACCCCTACTCTCAGCCTCTCAGGTTGAATGGATCTTAATTCTTACATCTTTGGAATAATTTTTGTTTAAACTATGTATCACATGAGATAATCAACTAGAAGTATATCATGTCATACTCCGCATTATTTATTTATCCTTAATGAAAGTAAGCTTGGAATATTTTAGTTCAAAGAAGCTCAAACATTAAAAAATTTGAGTTTTATGAGGGATCAGGATCCTCTGCCATAAGGCAGAGTGCCTTGCCGCATCCGATGGTAGAGAGACAACGAGGACGACCTCGAGATCGGGGAAGGGGTGGAGCCCAACATCTTTGGCCATCCAGTTCCCGATCGAACGGCCCTGAAGAGCTAGGCACCCTGCCTTGTTTTAAAGCAAGGCAGAGGCTCCAGATCCGTTTTATGAGGGTGAGTGGGTGACTCAGGACAAAGAAAACATTCATAATATTGAATTGAAAATGAACTAATCAAAAAAGGGTGAAAAATAAGAATCAATCAATAACAGATGTTTCAGGAGAGAAACTGTACTATCAATAGTAAGAGTATGTTTAGTAACACTCAAATTGGTTGAATTGATTGATTCTCTTAGAATTTATTTTGAAGTTTTGGCTAAAATGATCGTTGATTCTGCCGAATTATGAAAATTTTATATTTTATTAATAAAGTAAATAAAAAATTATATGAAAAATTGCTAAAAATGGTCTTCTGCAGTAACTTCAGTCAATCCATTCGAAAGAGTACCTTCAAATTTGCTTATTTTGATGATTACATAATTTATTAGCGTGTGAAATCAAAAGTTACGTGTTTAGTGAACAGTTAAGTGAATGATAGAATCACCAAACGGGATCTAAGTAAAGTTTCTCTTGAAGATGTATTTTACTATGAAAGAAAAGTTCATATTTATAGGGGGGAAATGTAAACTCATTCGGATTAGGAGGAAAAGAGAACACATTAATGCTATTGAATAAAATAACAAGTAATGTACTCTCGTACTTCCTATTACGGAGATAGTATATACTAAGTCACCTCCGAATATTGAGTAAAACTACAAATTCATAATAAAATAATAAAAAATAATAAAAATTCGTAAAATATACCAAAAAATTAATAAAAATATTCTGAATAATAATAAATAATTAAATTTAAAAAAAAAAATTAAAAAAAATAAAAAAAAATAAAAAAAAAAAATTAAAAAAAAATAAAAATTTTTTTTTTTGGTCACCGCCGCCTATACCGCCCCAGCACCACCACCTCTAGTCATTTGGGGAAAAAATGCCAAATTTATTATGAATTCCATATTTTTGGCATAATTCAGAATGATTTAAGATGGAAGAAAAAAAATGTTGGCATTCTCAAAGAGAAATATGCCATATTTTTGGCATTTTCCGAAAAAATGAAAGTTTGTAGGAAATATGACATTTTTTTTAACGGTCGGAGGTGGTGGTGCAGGGAGGCGGTACCACCACCTCCTGTCACCGGGGTAAAAAAATGCCAAAAAAATTATGAATGCCACATTTTTGGCAAAAGTCAAAAGGATTCAAGTTGGCAGAATGAAAATGTTGGCATTCTCATAGAGAAATATGCCATTTTTGTGGAATTTAAAAAAAAAAGTGGCATTTTTTACACCGATCGGAGGTGGTGGTTCAGGGAGGTAGTACAAGCGGTGGGAAACGTATCCATATTTTTTTTAATTTTTTTATGGAGTTTTACTATTTTTTATTATTTTTTTAAAAAAAAATTAAATTTTTTTTTTCTTATTTTTTATTTTATAAAAATTTTATTAATTTTTTCATTATTTTTCTACGAATTATTGAAATTTTTTCGAATTTATTATGAATTAAACATTTATTTATGACTTTTAGCTATCTTTTACTAATATTTAAAGGAGGGGTAAGAATGGAAGGAAGAAATGAGTATGTTTCCAATAGGACCACTATGGTCCTATTTTTGAAAAAAAAAAAAACATAGCAAGTCCTATTTTGAGTTTTTGTCATAGTTTTAGTCCTATTTGAAGTAATTTCGATTTTATTTATTATTTATTGAATAAATTAATAAATTAAATAAAATAAAGGGCGGAGTTATTACAATCCCTGGATTGAATCAGATACAATTTGAAGGATTTTCTAGGTTTATTGATCAAGGTTTAATGGAAGAAATTTCTAAGTTTCAAAAATTGAAGATCTAGATCAACAAAATATATATATATATAAACAGCATGTTTATACTTTCATCTACAACAAGTTCATGTCTCCATTAAGTGAAAATAAAAAGAAAAATAATAAAAATAAAGGGAAAAGCAGGCTCTTTTAGATTTAGTTATTAGAAATTACTTCAAATAGGACTAAAACGATGACAAAAACTCAAAATAGGACTTGCTATGTTTTTTTTCCAAAATAGGACCATAGTGGTCCTATTGGAAACATACTGATTTCTTCCTTCCATTCTTACCCCTCCTTTAAATATTAGTAAAAGATAGCTAAAAGTCATAAATAAATTTTTAATTCATAATAAATTCGAAAAAATTTCAATAATTCGTAGAAAAATAATAAAAAAATTAATAAAATTTTAATAAAATAAAAAATAAGAAAAAAAAATTTTAATTTTTTTTTAAAAAAATTAATAAAAAATAGTAAAACTCCATAAAAAAAATTAAAAAAAATATGGATACGTTTCCCACCGCCTGTACTACCTCCCTGAACCACCACCTCCGATCGGTGTAAAAAATGCCACTTTTTTTTTTTAAATTCCACAAAAATGGCATATTTCTCTATGAGAATGCCAACATTTTCATTCTGCCAACTTGAATCCTTTTGACTTTTGCCAAAAATATGGCATTCATAATTTTTTTGGCATTTTTTTTACCCCGGTGACAGGAGGTGGTGGTACCGCCTCCCTGCACCACCACCTCCGACCGTTAAAAAAAATGTCATATTTCCTACAAACTTCCATTTTTTTTGGAAAATGCCAAAAATATGGCATATTTCTCTTTGAGAATGCCAACATTTTTTTTCTTCCATCTTAAATCATTCTGAATTATGCCAAAATTATGGAATTCATAATAAATTTGGCATTTTTTCCCCAAATGACTAGAGGTGGTGGTGCTGGGGCGGTATAGGCGGCGGTGACAAAAAAATATTTTTTTGATTTTTTTTATTTTTTTTATTTTTTTTATTTTTTATTTTTTTTTTAATTTTTTTTTAAATTTATTATTATTCAGAATATTTTTATTAATTTTTTGGTATATTTTACGAATTTTTATTATTTTTTATTATTTTATTATGAATTAAAACATTCCAATAGGTATAAGGGTATATTTGTCCAAGACAAACATAATTAGTCCTATGGAAACATAGTTTATTTTTTGGTCCTATTTGTGCAAAGTGAATGACTTTTAGTCCTATTTTGATAATTAACTCTTTAGTTATTTGAGAAGAAAATGCATAACCATATTGATCAATATGTCGGTTTGAAGAAAATTATACGGAGTAAATAATAGCGGATGAGTCAAGGTGAAATGGTGTATCGGGTGATGGATGATACATGTGTCCACCAACACTCATCTGTTTCATACTTTCATCAGTCTTCATCATCTCATTTTTCACTCTAATTTTTCCCGTTCTCATTCATTGTTGTGGAATCTCCCACCACCGGACCCGACAGAATAGTGGAGGAATAAGTCACAGTAACTCAGTCGGCTCAATGACGGTAGGTCTTATACTCGTGCGCTCAAAGATCCGACCCAGCACGCAGGAGTTGTAACATCCACATGGGTGTTGCGAGTTTCAAACTTTGGTCATTGTTCCAAATTTTCCACCACTCAACCAATTGAGCTAGTGGTGCGGGTTTTTTATTTTCATTCATATTCTGGATTTGAATGGATCTATTATCCAACGCGTGCATTTAATCGACTTCATGTAGCAATTTTTTGTTAGTATTTATTATTTGACTTGTATTTATGACGTAGTACGCATTATTTCTATTGTCGCACGATGAAGTTTTATACTGTTCCTGTAGACTTAAGATATATTGCTCATATTTGTGTTATACTCCGTATTGTTTAAATGACGGAAGAAATTAAACCCGTTGAATGAATGTAATTAATTGATTGTATCGTGAAGGTTGTTTATGAGAAAGATAAAATACTAAAGTAGATTTGTTTTTTAAATTTTATTGAATAAAGGTACGTACTTTTTTGGTGTAAAATGGTGGTTGGGAATAGTTAATCAAACCCCATACAATCAAACTTCAAAATAATACTCCGCACTTAGCACCACCCTCAACTTAGTTGACCAACAATTTCAGTCAAATTATCATTTACCTTGTATAAGAATATACTCCGTAGAAAATAGTGATGGATAAATCTGCGTATTATTTCAGTCATGTAACATATGGTTAAATTTGTACGTATGGGTCGGCCATAAAAAAGAAATTACATATGAAGAGCACTTTTAATGTAACAATTATACACATTTTATATTGATCAAATATGCCATAACATGGATATATACACAAATTGATACTCCACATAGAAAAGTAACACCTTTCTTTTTCTTTCTACATTTTCCATGACTTTTTTCTTTTTGGTAATTTTCCTTCATAGTCTAGTGATTAATACTACGTATTACATTTGTTTTATCGCAACAAGTCAACAACATCATATCTAAGACTTGTCCCCAAATAAGTTTGGGGTCGATTAATAATTTTGAATGAGCGTACGTATAAATTGGGATTAAGGAAGATTAAAAAGAAACCAATAACCCATACGTATACTCTTCAAAGTGATCATTTTTGTATTTATTTCTCTCGATCGTGCTACTATACAACAAATTAATTGTGTGGAGAAAATCATTACATTATATTGGAGATGGTGAAATGCTATGAGATTGGTATGTCTCTATTTTTCGTCCATTCAGGGGTTGCATTGGCCTTGCATTCTTCGTGTTTCCATTGTCCAATGGACGTTGCAAAGTTTCGACTTGATCCAATGAAATTGTGCGAAACTGAAGCATATACATATATAGCCCATGCATTTTTAATAGAGTTTTACCAATTCAAAAACTACCAATTTAGAGAAACAAATGAATATATAAACAATTTAGCAAAAACTAGGGGAAAATGGCAAATAAGTCCATGTACTAACCAAAAAAGGTCAAATAAGCCCATATTTGGGAGGCTCTGTCCGGCCGTCGCCATTTGGGGCGGTTCCCGGTGAAATTTTTTGATGATTTTTTTTAGCATCTTATTCATTGAGTCTAATTTTCTCATACCAAATTTTAGCTAACAATTCAACCGGGAAAGCATTCAAATGAATTCTTGAAGATAACTGTGTTTTTAACTTCACCGTTATTTTCAAGAATTCATTTGAATGCCTTCCCGATTGAAGTTTTAGCTGAAATTTGGTATGCGTAAACTATACTGAATGAATAAGATGATAAAAAAATTTCATCAAAAAATTCCGCCAGGAACCACCCCAAATGGCGACCGCCCGACAGAACCTCCTAAATAAGGACTTATTTGACCTTTTTTGGTTAGTACGTGGGCTTATTTGCCCCTTTTCTCAAAAAAACTAAGGATGTTTTTTGTTGGTTTAGTTTCAGTATAGATCACACCTAATTTAGACACTAGTAATACACATAAAATAGACATCTAGCAGACTAAACTTATATAATACAATACACATAAAACATACATCAATCAGACCAGACGAGAAAATTCCAATCTAATTAAAAACATACTAAATCATACTACTGCCGTCCTATTGTTCCTATACACTTTCATATCATATGTTTATGCATGTGAAAGCTTTAAGTGTTACTTTTATGAAAGTATTCTTGATAGAGAATCATCTCATACTACCTCCGTCCCGAATTGATTTGCAAATTTGACTTTTCTTGGTCAAACAGTTGCGTTTTGTTCACTTAATTAGGATGCCAATTTTTAATTATATTCTAATTTGGAGTTTACAACTTTGAAGAGATTTTGATGTAGTTTATGAATATGTAAATTTTATTTATTAAAAAATAAATTAATTATGCATAAGAAGGGTTGACTTTCATTATTAGTTGACCAAAAAATGTTGACTTTACAAAACAAATTGAGACGGAGGAAGTATCAATTTTATATTATAAGTAGTTTCATACTCCGTATTAAAGTTTAATTGACCAAAAAGTTTAAAATGTACTGTCAAAAACAATCAAGGGACAAATCGAGGTCTCATGACTCTCATCAATCTGTACATAGGCCCGTACGTACCTTTTCTATGACAATCCAAGTAACATCTTCTGTGCAAGGGGGAGTGGTTAAAGAGCCTTCGTATGTGTAATATCTATCGACATTAGTAAATTCTCTTAAAAGATTTTGAATATGACGAATATTATTGTTTCCCAGTGCAACTTCAGGTGGATGTTGGGACGGTGACCTTTTTGAGAGCCGACTCAATTCTTGTTCTAGCTGCATGTTTACACAGGATATATATGAATCAACAATTCTACATCATAACCTCACTAATTGTCTCCAAAAAAACCTCACTAATTAATAACATCATTTAGCTGCACAATAAAATTGTAGATTTGTGGGATGTTTAATTTGAATCTGATTTTTAAAACTGTTTCTACTCTTTCGGGAAGCAGAAGCAGAAGTCGATGTTTTGGATGAAAGTGCAGAAGTGATTCTAGTGCTCTAGTTTACTCTTTGAAACAGTTTTTTTGGAAGATATATAGGGGGACAAACTTCTCAAAACTTATCTGTTTTTTTTGTTTCGTAATTTTCGATAGTATCCGTTCTCTGATTGATTTTATTCCGTACTCCTTATAACTTTATTTACTTGCAAACGAGTCGGGTAACTATAAATATGTTCACATAAAAGACCTTTTCACTGAAACCATAAAGACATAAAGTCAACCTTTCGGTGGAAAATTTTACAACGCTGAAAATTTAATTAGGATGTTTTTACTTGGACTGTAATTTGCTGGTCTGATCTGCTCTGGTCTTGTCTGGTCTGAACTGGTCTGGTAAGGTCTGGTTTCTTTGTATTTTTATAACTATCCAATTCTGGTCTGGTCTGAACTGGTCTGATCTGGTCTGAACTGATTTGGGACAAATTACAGTCCAAGTAAAAACATCCTTACAATTACTTAATTTACCTCTGCAATAATGGGGTCAGATTGGCCAAACCGAAACATAATTGCAACCACAACCATGCTATTATGGGGAGATTTGAACGGTAGGTGAAGCTCACACGTAAACCTGCAAGATAATACGGAGTAATAATTTACAAAATTATATGCACACTTATAAATAAAATATTTAAATATTGCAAATTTAATACTCCCTTTATCCCTTATTTAAGTTTTCACTTTTCTTTTTTGGATGTCCAGATTCACATTTACTTATTTGGGAAACAAATCTACACCAAAATAATGTCAAACAGTGCCAAATCAATGCATTCATTTGCCTCTCAATAAATTTATTTCCTTAATATGTGTGAAGTCAAACAGTGAACTTAAATACAGGACCGAGGGAGTACTATGAGTACGTAAAAGTAGTAAAATGTAGGTTGTATAAGCCCAAGATGAATTACTATTAATTAGTGTCCCGGAAAATGAAATGTATTCAGTTCGATATAAGGAAACGAACAAAAGTATTCTCTCCATTCCCATAAAACTTGGCCATTTTTTTTATCATCTCAAAAGAATTTGTCATTTACATAATTAAAGTAAGACTCATTCACTTTTTGTGATAAGTTTTAATTGTTAATAGCTAGGACTTGGTAAGTGTAGAATTCCAGCTCCCAGCAAGCCCATTACATCCTCCATACCATGGGATGGTCTTCCATCTCCTGCCCACTGAAGAGAAGCATGGAGAGGCATGGAGAGGAGGCATGGGTTGTAGCATGGGTTGTAGCATGGGCATCAATGAATATGTCTCCAGCCTTGCCTATAAATAGAATGCTCTTCCCTTGTTCAAAGACATAAAAAAAAATTCGGAGTGAAAGAGTGAGAGCAATATACATAGAGTGTGAGTGTATAAGAGGGTTGGTTTTTTGTAATAGTTGAGTGAGAGAGTTGCTCCTCCTATTGTAATTCTGTTCTGGTTATGAATAGAAGAATTTTCCAATCCTAACAAGTGGTATCAGAGCCAGGTTAATCCAGAAACCCAGATTTCTTCATTCTGCCCGAATTTTTGGTCAAAAATTTTTTGTTCCAGAATCTTGTTTTGAGGCCACCATTAGCAAGCTCTCGTTCTGAGGATTCCAAAAATATATTTTTCGGAATTTTTTGACCACCGGAAGGCCTCCAAACGTCCGGTCAAAGTTTCTCTCTCCTGCCAATTATTGCCGCTGCAATACTGCAGTCCGCCAGCAGACTCGCCGGAGAAGACGACCAGTCAGCACGCCACGTCATCGCCACGTCATCTGCCACGTCATCTGCCACGTCAGCAACACGTCACTGCCCAGGTGGTGCCACGTCATCAGCCTGGTTGGCTGCCCACTGGTTTGGGCCAGAACCGGTCCGGTTCGGCTTGTGGTTCAATACTCCGGTTCACGCTCTTCCCGGCCGGTTCTTGAAGAGGTGAGACCGGTTCCCACCATTTTCGGCCATTCCGGATTCAACGGTGTGCTCCGTTTGGCCTAATTCAGCTTCCAAATTGAGGTACGAGAATAAGTGTACATTTTTATCATGGAAAAATCATCTTCGGATACGATGATTGCGCTCACTTCCACAAATTACAACATGTGGAAACCACGGATGGAGGATTTGTTAAATTTGAAAGATTTAGCAGATCCTCTTGATAATAATGGCGTCAAACCAGATAAAAAGACGGATGAAGAATGGGCTAAGATGAACAGAAAAACTGTCGCACAAATCCGACAGTGGATTGATCATAGCGTGTTCCATCATGTTTCTCAAGAGCAAAGTGCTCACACACTATGGGAGAAACTTAGTAGCATGTACCAAGCAAAAACTGCTCGGAATAAAACGTTGCTGATGAGACGATTAGTGAACCACAAGCTACGTGGTGGCATTTCTGTGTCGGAACACACGAGCCAGTTCCAGGATCTTGTGAACCAATTGAGCACCACCGGATGGGTTCTCAAAGATGAAGAACAAGCAATACTTTTGCTTAGCTCTCTACCTGATAATTGGGAGACTCTTGTTGTTACTCTCAGTAATTCTGCCCCAAATGGTACCGTGACTATGCAGATGGTCACGGACGCCTTGATGAATGAGGAAGCACGAAGGAAGGAAGCTGGGACTGATCAGTCTTATGCTCTCGTCTCAGAAACCAGCAGGCGAGGGGGAGGCAGAAATGGAGGTAGAGGACGAGGTCGAGGCAGAGGCAGAGCTCGAGGTCAAAGTAGAGGGAGATCTCAAGCTCGAGGAAGGTCACAAGAGCGGGGAAAGTCCGTCGATACCAATACTTGGTTCGAGGGCTATTGCAACCATTGTGGTCATTACGGGCACAGAAAGAGGGAATGCCGAAAGTTTCTACGGGAGCAGCCTCAGACGAGTCAAAGTTCAAGCAAGGAAGATGGTGAGACCATGGTCACCATGGCACCGGACATTGCACTTGTTACTTGCGGAGAAGAAGCATGCCTACACGTAGGTACGCATGATATTGAGTGGGTGATTGATACCGCTGCATCATTTCACGCCACTCCGCACCAAAGTCTATTTGCAACTTATAATTCCGGAGACCATGGTGCTGTGAAGATGGGAAATACGAGTTTCTCAAACATTGTTGGCATTGGAGATGTGCACATTCAAACAAGTGTTGGCTGCACACTTGTGTTGAAAGATGTTCGGCATGTTCCAGATCTGAGATTGAATCTTATCTCAGGAGTTGCTCTAGATCAGCAGGGGTATGAAAGCCAGTTCAAAGAAGGTACGTGGAAATTATCTAAAGGCTCTATGATTATTGCAAGAGGTCATATCTGTGGTACTCTTTACAAAACACATGTAAAGTTGTATCCTCCAAGTCTCAATGCTGTTCAAGGAGAGACATCACCAAATCTGTGGCACCGGAGGTTAGGCCACATGAGCGTGAAAGGACTGACAACTCTTGCAAAGAAGGAAGCAATCTTTATTGATAAAGACGTCGCTCTGGATCCCTGCGAGCACTGTCTATTTGGGAAACAACATCGAGTTTCTTTCAGTTCCACTAGAAAGAATCATTCTGAAATACTCGATCTTATCCACACTGATGTATGTGGACCCATTGAAGAGGAGTCACTTGGAGGCAGCAGATATTTTGTGACATTCATTGATGATGCGTCACAAAAGGTATGGGCTTATTGTCTCAAATCTAAGGATCAAGTATTTGATCGCTTTAAAATATTTCATACTATGGTAGAAAGAGAGACAGGAAAGAAGCTGAAGTGCCTTCGTTCTGACAACGGAGGCGAGTACACTTCCCGGGAATTCTTAGCATATTGTGCTGAACATGGAATCAGGCATGAGAAGTCGGTGCCACGGACCCCACAACACAACGGTGTAGCCGAAAGAATGAATCGAACTATTGTGGAGAAAGTTCGGTGCATGCTCAGTATGGCTACATTACCAAAGCCATTCTGGGGCGAAGCTGTGTTGACAGCTTGCTATCTTATAAACAGGTCACCCTCAGTTCCCTTAAACTTTGAAGTTCCTGAGAAGAAATGGTCAGGAAAAGACATTTCCTACTCTCACTTGAAAGTGTTTGGGTGCAAGGCCTTTGCACATGTGTCCAAAGAGTTGAGGCAAAAACTTGATCTTAAGTCGAACCCATGCATCTTCATCGGCTATGGAGATCAAGAATTTGGATACCGGTTGTGGGATCCCGAAATGAAGAAAGTTATTCGAAGTAGAGATGTGGTGTTTCATGAATCCCAATTTCATGATCTTACTCCAACAAACAACAAACAACATATCTCTCATGCTCCTGAAGACGTTCCTGTAGTATCACACGTTCCTCTTAACAATGAGGAAGTGAGTGATAATACTGAACCAGTGAATGATGGCCCAGTAGTTGTTGATGATGTTCAAGATGGAGGAATTCCTGAGCAGGGGGAGCATTCATCTGAAGGCCACACTGACAACACACAACTTCGACGTTCTACGCGAGGTACTGTTCCACAAAGAAGGTACCCGACATCTGAATGGATCCTTCTTACCAGCGAGGGGGAGCCAGAGAGCTTTCGAGAAGCTCAATCTCATCAAGACAAGTCCAATTGGTGGGAGGCCATGGGAGATGAGATGAAATCCTTGCAGAAAAACCAAACTTATGACTTGGTGCCACTTCCCAAAGGAAAGAAAGCCTTGAAAAACAAATGGGTTTTTAAGGTGAAGAAAGATGTCAAGGGAAATAATGTGAAGCACAAGGCAAGACTCGTGGTCAAAGGATTCCAACAAAAACAGTGATGGAGCATATGGCCCAAGAACCCCCGGCCCATAGACTCCTACTTCTCCTACACAAGTTCAATGAGCCCAGGGAACAACTCAGGCCCAAAATGCAGCGACCCAAGCCTCAACGTGGCCCAGAATACGCACTGGGGTGCCTTCGGCCTCCTTGGCCGGAGGCCCCAAACCTCACAGGGTAGCTTTCTCTGGCATAAGAGGCTACTGGGAGAAAACGGCGAAAAACATGAGCCTTCGGCATTATCGAGCCCTCGGCATCAGAGAAGCCCCCGGCTAAACCGTGCCTCCGGTCACACAGGGCCTTCGGCTACCCAGGGATCCTTGGCTACATGGAGCCCTCGGCAACACAAGGAGCCCTCGGCCAAGCACACTCAATCATCGGAGATTCCTTTTAGAGACAGCCAACCACCGCATTTAATGCCACGTCACATCCGCCAACCGCATTCAATGCGGTGAACGTACCACTGCCGGTGCCAACCGATTGATGTGACCCTTCGGCCGTTGGATTACTGACACGTGTCCTCTCATCGCATTTATTGCTGCTATAAATAGCAGCCCATTTCTCCTTGTAAACCACGCTGAGTTCATTTAATAAAATCGACTCTCTCTCCTCCTATTTACTCTGACTTCTCTCTAGTTATTCCCGCAATAACCCCTCGGGTAAGATACCCCCCGGGTAGACAATCCATCATTTGGTGCTCTCGTTGAGAAGTCAGAACAAATCAAGTAAGAAACCCTCCCCCTCTACCAAACACAAACCCTCACCAAAAATGGGAAGAACCACCCGTGCCCAATCCAAGACCCTTGAGGAAAACTACGTAGCCCCCGGCGAGACTAACGGGGCTGAGGCCT